TTTAAGTATTGAAAACGCTTCTCACTCGTGCGGCAGCTACAAGAACCCTGTGCGCTGTACGGTGCTGCCATCTCGTTCATGCATAAACAAAGAGTACCCGCGTATTTTAAGCTCAAACGCATGTTTCCTTCTGCACCCGGTCCCCAGAAAAAAATTAGGAGATCTTAGAACTTGAACGCACCTCGTATTAGAGAAGCAAGCAAAGTGATTATATCATCCTCTCGTAGTTTTGCAAGCGCACGAACACGATTTAACCATGATGGAAGATAGCTCAATTACAAAATTTTCCGCTACAACTTTGTAGGAGGTACTCTTAATAAGGATGCTTAAATCGTCGTGTTGGACAATACGCATGCTCGATATGATGTAATATAAGCCCCGCGCGCTCAGAGTGTGGTGTAGAGAGTAGCAGCAGCGCAGTTGCCGGGACGAGAGTCGAGAGTGTGTGGCATCGTGAGTACAGTTGAGGACTGTCGTAAAGACGCGGGACATGTGTTGAACCCTGATCGGGTCGGGTTTGAGTGTTGGAAGTCTTTACATCGCACACTAACATCCATTCCGGTATTGATCCTTTTGTATTCCTTGTCCATCAATCATCTGATGCAATAGATTCCAACACGGTTTCAAATATCCCTATTCTGATCCCTACTGTTATTGATCTCACCCAATACTGGTTATCTCAATAAATGTACTGTATTACAAACGAGGAGTCAACGGAGTCATTATAACCTCGGACACGCTGGTGGTCCGTTCGTGAGTCATTGATGTTAATTCACGTCGGAGCCGCCTACAACTTCATGTCTTCACCAAGGACATGCATTATATTTCAGTTTTAAGAGAAGCTTTAAACCTGGCACACTTGGATAGTAAACGATTTATCAGGATATATGAAGCGGGGAAAATGCATAACATTTTTAAAATCTCTACTCACAACCTCCGATATGCGTAGCCTCCTTCGGAAAATCGAATCACAGCAGCTGACTCTCCCCAAAAAACTTGATGCCTGTTTCACCTTGCCCATAGCGCAAGTTACACGAACAGAGAGTGGTACGACTGTCATAATTCGTCTTCCACTTATTCATCAGACTCCCTTCGCATCATACAAACCAGTGCTGCTCCCGAAAGTAATTCCTGGAACCAAAGTTGGGATTTACGTAGATCTGGGAGACGTGAAAACTCTTCGCAACCAATCAGGAGACGGAAACCGAAATCATTCTCAATGCAAATGATATGTTCCAGAGTTTATCTCTTAAAGAGGTTTGGATTTGTAGGGTTTCCAAACCCATCTTTCATGAATTAAGAGATGAGGGATGCATCACGCTGCTATGGCGGGGAAACGCGCGCACTAAAGACATTGTCCTGGCAAAGTGCCGACTCTGCCCCCACAGTCGGTAGTTTCCATGAAAAATAATGTCTGGGCGTTGTCAGAGTTACAATCCCATGAATCAAGCATCTGGTGTTCTCGGCATCACCTATCCAAATTCACATTAAAATGTGAGGGATCCCAGGTTTACAGAAGGATGCTTCCCTTCAGAATCCTCTTTTCCAATTAAGGACAACTGCGAGTTGGAACGACAACAGTAGTTGCGCATGTCCCGGAGGTTATGATTCCATCACTCACCGACAACAAATCACGCGAAGTTTCGAAAGGTTAGGAGGCATAGTGAGACCCCTCAAGAAAAAATTTGCCCTTTCGTTATCGATGGAAATCCAGTATGTAAATTTCTCAGAAAATCGCATCTTGGCGTCTCTTTCCATAATACAATTACTTAGAGAGAAAAGATATCTCGTTAACGTAGGTACTGTGCAACATCTCCGGCTATCTTGACTAGCAACGGAGGAGCAAGTTCAAGTCTTAAGAGAAAAGGTGGATTAATCGGAGAAAGGGGAATCGGAAATTCAGCACATACAGAATTTGATCCTCGCTATCATGAACACATCCAAAGCGGGTTTTGGAAAGCAAGCAAAAGCATTGCAGCATGCCCTTGAAATTCTTTGAGAGCACGAAGTTGACTTGTCCACAATTGAAACTCAGATTACTGAATTTGAAACCTCTCATTGCAAACCCACGTTTCAACGAAAGCAATGCATTACCTTCCAATGATAAGAAAGGTGTTACCTCGAGCCCACTTGGATCCTGAGAGGTACCTCCAAATTTATGAAACCGGTAAAATGCATGTAAAATGCAAATCTCTATCTGCAATGTCAGAAATGCACGGGCCCCTGAAGAAAATAAAATCGTAATTGCCATTCCCTCAACGATTTGCGCTAGCTCTTCCGCAGGGACTTGACGCGTATTTTTCTTTTCCAATAGCTCAAATTGCACGTACGAGGGGTCCTGCAAAAGTTCTGTCGGTTCCTCAGTTGTCTCTCGCGTAAGCGAATGAAACGTTTCTGTTCCCTTCCTATATAATTTAATTACGTTGTAAAAAAATTCTCGACCCAAGAGGAAGCGATGGAGACGAGGAAACGAAAAACAAGCGCGGGTGGTCAGCCCGAATTTCCACCTTTTACGAAAGAGCATCAGTGGGTGATCATGTTGTTTTTCTTTCGCCGTGGTTCAAACGCGAGAGAGTGCCACAAGGAGTTGAAAAATGTGGTCGGTGACGAAGCCCCATGTATCAGGACTGTGGAAAGGTGGTTCGCGAGATTTTCGATAGGACATTTTGGCGTCGAGGACGACCCTTGGGAGGGACGCCCCCGGACATCGACCGATGAACAAAGTGTGGCAGCGGTGAGGGCGGCAATCGAAGAAGATCCTCGACTGACGGGGGAAAAGTTGGAGGAGATGCTCGGGATTAAAGTGACGTCAGTTTACAGAATCCTGCACGACCACCTTGGCCTCAGCGTTAAAGCCGCCAGATGGGTGCCCCGCCTATTGACACAGGAGCAAATGAACGCCCGTGTCGAGTTTAGCCGCTGGTTCCTCGAAGAATTTGACGAAGGCAGATCTCCGAAGTTCTGGTTCATTGTCACTGGAGACGAGGCTTGGTTCCATATGTCTGACCCAGAAACCAAGCAGCAGTCAATGGTCTGGACCAAAAAAGGAGAGGCTCCCCCGGTGAAAGCTCGCCGAGAAAAGTCCGCCGGAAAGATCATGTTTGCCATTTTTTTCTCCCATGATGGGATCGTCGCCAGCGTACCGCTTGAGCAGAGAAAGACTGTAACCTCCCGGGAGGTCGCCCCAAGTCCATCCTGAAGAAGCATTTCCTCCACCATGACAACGCGCCAGCGTACAGGGCTTCAAAGACGTTGCTCTTCATCGGCGCCTCTGGCATCCAGCTGATCGAGCCCCCGCCCTACTCCCCAGACCTGGCGCCCTGCGACTTATGGCTGTTCTCAAAAGTCAAACAACCTTTGCGAGGAAAAGTCTTCAAGACCATCGACAATGTCATCGAAGCTGTCAACACTCAGCTGAACCAGCTGAAAAAGGAAGATTTCGAGCAGTGCTTCCAGAGCTGGATATACCGCCTTAAAAAGTGCAAAGATATCGGCGGCAAATATGTTGAAAAGTCATGAATAAATACAGAATCAGAAAAAAATACAGATAAAAATCTACTTCTTTTTTTTCAATGAAAACGATAGAACTTTTGCAGGACCCCTCGTATTATAAACCAAACAATTGTTAATTTATGAATACATATATGGTGGTACATTGCAAATATATGACCATACATGGCCATATAGAATCATACACCCTGTCATATACAGAATTTCCACGTGGGTATTTTATTGGTTATATGCATCAGCCAATATTGGGGGTATCTGATATATATCAGCCCAAAACTATATATGACCTGCTGATGACTGATATTGAAATGAAACCTAAGTATGCCAAACACTAAGTACATATAGCAAATGATGGATATTCTCACATTCTCTCATTACAGTGTTTTTCACTTGAGTCTAACTCAACATTTCACCTGATTCGGACACATGTGCATGGGACGTTCCTCATGCATGAGTGGCAAAGGGAAAAAATGTCTGACTCAAGCAAAAAACAATATGAAGGTTGAAAATGCCTAAATGATATGTTTCCATTTAAAAAAAATTATTAGGCTGCAGAAAATGTAAGTATTTTTCCCCTTTGGACTGGGAGTGGTCTCAAGGCACTGAAGCTCCACCCCTATTTGACAGTCAGTGTCTCCCAGTGACAACTTGTGTGATGTAGGCATAATTGACTGTTATAGAGGTCTAAAATCATTTTGCACTTGGTCTCACTGCCATCATAATCTGGAGAAATACCACCTGGGTTTGACCTTCACTGCTGCAGTTCTTCAACATCCCACATCTAGAGATAGGAGCGCTCTGTGCCCAGGTAGTCCCTTAAGCATGTTGGTGCTTGCATTAGGAAATATACACCTGACTCGGCCAGGTTCGAACCCAGGCCCTGTCACATGAGCCAAACTCATTACCCAGTCACCCAAGAGAGAAATGGGAAGCACCATCTACTTAACTCGACCTAATGCCACTACCACAGCCAGAGCCAGCCCTAGCTATTTCGGAACCCTGTGCAAAGAGACTCCCAACGCAGCCTGTCTGTCTGCGTCCATCAGTGATTAGCTTGTTACCTGTTACTGCTAAGAGCACTTTATAGCACCTCTTGCTAATGCATAGCATAAAAGGAGGTGCAATGATTTCACAGTCTTTACTGACATTTTCCTCCCCCAGTTCCTACAATCAGGCTGAAATATAATCTGATCAATATTTTTATCTGGGAGAGGATAGCAGGAATGTCTTTCAGTGAGACAGGAGGGCTGGCACCAAGCCACATTCATACACTCACGTAGCTCCTTTGTTTTGTTTTTTTCATTTTGCCCTCTTTCAGGCTTTGACGTCAGCAGCTTGCAACCCTACCGATGGCGTCAATGGTGCAACACCAGTGGTCAATCCTGGTGGTTGTCAATGTCAGTGCAACCCTTATTTATTTCAAATATTTAGGTCATAATTTTATATTTATATATTGATAATATATTATAATGTATTATATAAATATATTTGTAAATTAAATACTTCTGTAATATAATAAATATAATTAATTGCTTAAGAAATTTTCCTAAAAAGCAGTTATGTTCACATTTTATCAGCATGGCAAGTTATCTGATATGTTAACAATCTGTCAAGTCATGTCCCTCTGGGTGTCCATTGGAGGTAAGAAGGAGGGAACTTTGATATTCTTGATATTTTCTTTATTGAGTGCTTCTTTGGAAAAAGAGTAATTGGTTCCAACTTCTTGCAAGTTCAATGATGGAACATAATAAAGAAAATGCCTGATGTATTGGGTCTAAGCGAAAGTTCTGTCGGTTTTTGAGTGAAACTATCTGATGATTTTTTTCTTAGTTTATTAACTGCTTTAATCTTTAATGTAATTTCCATTATTAGTTATGACCATCTCCCATCTGTTCAGTAACTTTTCAATTCCAGCAGCATAACATTTTTCCAGCTTGGATGCAAAGTTCTCAATGGCCATTTCAACAGCTCCAAAAGAGGCAAAGTTTTTTCCATTGCGATGGTTCTGCAGTGATCAGAATAAATGGTAGTCCAACAGTGCGAGGTCTGGGGAATATGCTGGATGGGCACAGTGCGAGGTCTGGGGAATGGGCTGGATGGATATTGCTGGATAGGCAATAATTTAACAATTGAGTTCCTTTAATTTTTGTTGAGTCTTCATCGCCACACGTGGTTGCACATTGTCTTAGTGGAATACGACGCTCCTTCTGTTTACCAAAGATGGACGTTTTATAGCAAGAGTTGAGTTGAGATTTTCGAGTTGTTGGCATTAATGGTCAACATCAACAGTTTCGTTGGATCTCACAAGCTCATAGTAGACAACTCCCTAACAATCCCACCAGCAACAGAGCATAACCTTGCTCTGGTGGAGCTTGGGCTTTGGAGTAGGAATAGGAGATTGTCCTGCTGCATAATATTGTCTTTTTCAATGCATGTTGTTGTACAAAACACACTTTTTGTCAGCAGTAATCAATCGATCCAAAAAGGGCTCTGCGAGCTGACGGGTGTGATACATAACACATATGGTGTTATCAAGCAAGTTTTTTTTTAAACAAATCGTGCGGTACCCAAGCGCTGCTCTTCAGAAAAAAAACCAAGCTGATGAATGTGCTTTAAGACATTTGTCTGGTAAATTCCAAGTTTCTCGTCAATTTCTGTAGATGTTTGGTGAGGATCTGCCTTAATGAAGGCCTGTAGTTTATCATCATTGACATTGAAGGAGCACCCAGACTGTGGTTCATCTTCCAAACTGAAGTTACCAGAACAGAATCTGGTAAACCATCTTTGACACGTGCAATCAGTAATAGCCTCCTCCCCGAATACTTCACATGAATTTTTACTTGCAGTTGTTGCGCTGTTTCATTTTTGGAGCTCATAAAGCACGCAGTGTCTCAAATGCACTTTATCCACAGACATGTTGAAGACACAGTAGTTCATTTTGGACTGAACGGTTAAACTAAATTCATGTCAAACATACTCTATGACCCTTACCCAAACATAAAACTGGTTTTTACAAGTGTGTGCAGCTTAGTTCGCATATGGGAAACTGAAATAATCTACCCTCAAAAAACCGACAGAACTTTCGCTTAGACCTAACAAATCCAATGTAATATTTTAAAATCCACATTGAGGAGCCTGGCTTTAGCATGAACAAAAACATTTCCTCTCACTACTAAAGAAATAGCAAAAGGTGTACCACTGGTGCACCTAATGCTTTCATCATCAGACCTGGTCCCAAATAAAACTTAGCAGTGGGGGGGGGAGGTTAATGCCCATATGTGTGAATATAAATATACAGGGTGCCCAATAGAAAACCAAAGGATTTATTTTTTATTAAGGATTTATTCAAGATTATTGAGTTGAGGAGCCATGGGTATTAATGAATCCAATCTGAAATAGAAATATACATTTTATTATTTATATTTGTTTATGAAAACAACATATCGCAATCAAGCAGCATAAATATAGATGTATACTTGTCTATAGAAAACATCACTTCATTGTTAAAGATGTGCTAATTGCAATCCTTTGGTTTTCTACTGGGCACCCTGTAGATACAGATATAGATATAGATTATCGGTATCGGTATCAGTATCAGTATTGGTTCTTTTCTGATATTGGAATATCAGTATATATCGAATACTGACCAAAATTCAATATCATTGCATCTCTAGCAACAACTCACTCAAAATGGTTATATAAATGGTGATAGTGGGCACCTGAGAATGTATACTTCAAAGTTCTCATGATTGTCAAATAAATATACTGAAAAATGAGTTGAAATGAACAGGCCAATTCATCAGTCCTATAATGTCATTGATGGAGTGCTGGTGCTTCAATCAAGTTCAATAAGGACAATATCTATGTGGCATGGATAACATTTCTTTCTGTTAACAATCCTGCAAACAGGATGATTAGGAGGGAGACAGAGAACCTTGGCAAAGAAGCGGTATATGTAGACTGGTTTCTGTTGCCCAAATCGATAGACACGGAAGAGGGCTTGGACATCATGGGAAGGGTTCCATGAGGCATCCAGGATAACAACCCGATTTGCACCCACCAAGTTGATACCAAGCCCACCTGCCTTTGTTGATACCAGCAACAATCGTGCCCTGCAGATCAAAGTTCCCTAGATGAGGAGAAGCACCACAGTTCTTTGTGAAGCAGTTACTCAAGGTGCATTGCCAGATACCTATAGTTTTTGGCATCATTGATGACAGCAGTGATGCGCTTCCGGGTATCAACAGGTGTGGTGCCATCAATGCGAAAGTAGTCTGCACCTTGCACCCAGGATCCTCCAGTCCACTCAAGCAGATCATTTTCTTCATCCTGCTCTCCTTCTTTAGCAGCAACTGTTTCAGTTTCATGAGGGATTTCTGCTGCTTTTTCTAGGTCTATCTCAGGTTGGAGCACCAAAGAGGGTTCAACCCGGTGTGAATCAAGAAACTGAAGAAGCTGCTCCACCAAGTCAAGACAGAGAAGACTCTGTGTGAAGACCAAGCTGTCAACAGTAATAGCCAATCAGGGAATAAGTAATAAATAACCTTGTTATGAAATTCTCAATATTCAATTTATAGAAGCTCATATTTACTAATGTTTCAATGCATTTTTTCTTCTAAAATTTGTTTGGTAACTGATATGAAAAATCACTTCTCCACTTTCAATGTAGAAGAGATAGTCTCTTGCAAAAATAAACAGTATATCTACCAAAAAACACAAAAATCTTTAAATGCCAATCATTTCCAAATTCAAGCAGAACATGTCTGCAGAAAAATTCGAATTTTGCCATATTCAAAGAGCATGGAATCTTCCTTTGCACCCCTATAAAAGAAAGATTCCATGCTCTTTGAATATAACAAAATTTTAAAATTTCCTTGTAAATGTTGTTTTCAAATATGGCAAAATTCACATTTTTCCACTTTCATGCTCTGTTAGAATTTGGGAACATTTGGCATGTAAAGGTTAACTTGAAGGCTTTTCTTCAACATCAGTAGCCCAATGAGTGAAATCAGTTAACTCCTAAAATTTAAAAAATCAGTGACACACAGATCTCAATAGTAGCTCAATCATAACTAAAGAATGCATCACTGTATCACAAAGTGTGTGACTATGGAAATGGGAAGTTGTTCTGTATGGGAATGGGACTCACACTTTGTCCCCAATAATCTCGCAGGAACGAAGGATGTCAGCAAGAAGCATCATCTTCCCACTGAGAGCAAATGACTCCACATCCAAACCTGATTCCTTAATGATCTTCTCCCACCATAATGACTGATCTTCCTCTTCCTCTTTCTTCTCCTCATTTTGACTATTTTTTGCAACTTCCTCCTCTTCACCTGACAGGATAAAATATTTTGCTTTGTACAGCCTGCAGAATCCAGAGTCCAAGTTTTGACTTTTACAGCTTTATTAATGAAGTATTAGCAACAAAGCCAAGTAGGTTTTAAAAATTCTGTCCAAAATATTATTTTTAATACATGATCCTACTTTTGACTAATGTCTTTCTTTTATTCTCATTCAAATTCTCTCAGTCCAGCCAAAATTTCAACAACCCTTCAGCTGGTTTACTTTCAGGGTGTAACATAAGTCACTAACCAAATGCAAAATTATATACTTCTTTAACCCATGAAGTTTATATTTCTGTTTTGCTATTCTTGAAATGTAAGTCTACAGTTTTGTCCTCATTTTAGGTAATGGCTTCTAAACTTACCACTGAACAAGTCACTGTAGTGAAACTGTACTACGAGAGCAAAGGTACCACGCTAATGCAGCAGGACTGGATGAATTCTATTGCTTCTCTTCCTCCTTCCTCCAATCCTGCTATGCTTGTGTGGTACTTTTGCTCTTGTAGTACAGTTTCACTATAGCAACTCCCTCCTCAGTGGTAAGTAAGCCATTACCTAAAATAAGGAGGAAAAAACTTTAGACATTCTACATTTCAGAAATAGCAAAATAGAAATATTAACTCAACAGGTTGAAGAATTATATAATTTCCCATTAGGTTAGTGACTTATGTTACACCCTGTAGCTGTTTCCATTTGAAACCAAGTGGTTTTCAAAATTACAGCTAAATTTCACTTGATCTAGCTGGTATAGAACTAAACAGCTCTTTGCTTAATTTGCAAGACCTCAACAACCATTGCTCCCACTCCTGATATAAATAAATAAATTTCAACTTATGTATTGTCCAAGGAACAGATATTGTATGAAAGAGTCAGTTAAAGTATAAATTCATTTGTGATTTATAGGTTCATTAGCTTAAGAATTCAATGTAGGGTGATCTGAAGCTGGTTCATAGAATGCAAAGGCAGGAAACATGATTCTGCTGGTCTTTAGGTGATCACTTGATGGTTTCAAGTGGATATCAGAATCTCCCCATATAGAGAGATCATATATGGCATGTAAATGCAGTTATCTGTGCCATATACAGGATATTTGCAGTCACTCCCTATTATAAATTTATAATAACTATTGTGATTTATTGACCAGAACTATGGTTTTTCTGTCAAAAGAAAAAAATTCAACACAGTATGCATACCAAGCAACTACAGTCAACTCTCATAAATCCAAACGCCTGTAATCCAGATCTTCTGTTAATTCAGACATGAAGAATGTTCCTGGCAGAAGTTCCAAAGAACCAATAATAAAATACTCCTTTTAATCCGGACATCGTAATTCCATATTTTTCGTTTATCCAGAAGAGTTTTCTCATTCCAAGCCATTCTCCCCCATTAATCTGGACTTTCCAGCAAAATACAGATGATACTACAGAAAAGAATAGATTTCCCTGTCATTTTCCCACGTCTTCACTATCCCTCACCCTTGGATTTAAAATAAATACATAAATAAATAAAATAAAACGTTGGATCTCCCCAATTTCCTGGAATCAAGTGATGATGAGTGCTCTCTTCATTGAGACTTTCATGCTTCATTGTCATGTCACCCATCCTCTCTCAGTCTAACCTGTTCTTGCCATTAGAGGCATGAGAGGTTTCTTACCTCCTGTTATGAGTAAGTGTTCTCAGAGTGATCCCGCACAGGAGGAGGAATAGGAAGTTTTGAAGTTAATTGGAAGTTTTGAAATTATCAGACTTAGGCCTTGTCCACACCAGAAAGTTTTCTATGCCAGATTTTCAATGCTCTGGGAGATTCCTTCAAAAGTTTCTTTCAAAAATCTTGCTTGCAACATTCTTTAATCATATATGTAAGAAAAGTTTCTGGTGTGGAATAGGCCTTAGTTGAAAGGTAAGTTTGGTAGCACGTGATTTGAATATTCCAACATTGACAGTGTCAGATATAGTATATATAAAAGTGTCGTGATGAACTTGAACAGGGTGCTGTCCTAGCTTGGGTCCCTCTCACAGAAACGAAAGTGAAGTGCACGCTTTGAGGATGCATGAATCAGAGCAAAATAACATTTGTAATTTCTTCTATGTGACAGATTGAAAGAACAGAGTCCAAGTTTTCCTATTCCTGTGAAAACAATGAAGGCCTTCTTTGCACATATTAGCTGCAGTTTTCCTCTCCAGGAAAAAATAAGAAAAGTGAATGGTTACTCGGGCAGGTACTCGATAATCCAGATGAGCCATTAATTCAGACAAAATCACCAGTCCCCTCGCATCCGGATTAACAAGAGTTGACCATATTTGCCCTCGGTTTCAAGGACTCAATTCTGGCATGATGGAGGACTAATGCAAACAAAGAAATTAATTAAATCATAAAACCCTTTCAAATTCTCTTTCTTTTGACACAAAAACCATGGTCCTAGTCCAAAAATTACAAAAGTTATTACAACCTTGAAATTGGGAGTTTTCAAGGTTGACTTTTCAAATACCCTGTATATTTACATATTTTCCACATAATGATATATGAAGCTGAATATGTGAAACTATACATGGCTAAAGCACTTGATTAATGTGAGGCTAATTCATACATTAACTCTTTCATGGTTACTGGCATAATACCTATGCCAAGACAAACAAGACAAAACATGTACTTTTTTTTTACATATTCCTCTTGCATAACTCATCAAGAAGGATTTCTGAATTTGAATAAAATATTGTAAACATTGACAACTTCTGGGATCACAGCAGGTTCCAGCTGGTTTTTCCAGCAAGAAATGCTATTGAGACTTGGTGTTTGAGATTAACATAGAATATGGATACCATTTGGCTCATTGAGGATTTGGATGTCATCATCTTCAGGTGTGTTTTCTCTAGAAGTAGCTGAGGATTGGGTACTGGAAGAAGATGAATCTGAGTCTTCATCTGACACCACAAAATCCTTCAGGGATCCCTGTTCATCATCACCATCATCCTCCCACATTCTCTGTAATCAGTCCTTATCAGTTCCAGCACTTTACCTTTCAAGTAAGCTGCACTCATCATGAACTGAAAAGATTGGTGGAAGTAGGCATCAACTTGTGACTTAAAAAACATTAGAAACACTGAAGAAAGGGGCTACACCATAATAGTTTTGCTGCTAAATTTTCTCCAACACTTCTATTGTGATTTGTGATATTTGTATATTAATATATTATAAATAACATTACTTGTATAATAATACATAGGAATGGGTTATTGACCAGTCAATTAAAAACATGTCAATTGACTGGTCAATTGACCAGTCAATATGGTCAACTATGGTCAATTTTGGCAAATAGGGCCAACTTTTATTTATTTATTGATTCGTAGTTTTTGCACTATTATATATGTCATGACTCACAAGTGATAGACTAGGGATGGGATGTTGACTGGTCAACATAGTCATTTTAGACCATTTGCAGAAAATAATGGTTATGAGCCCAACAAGAGGTTAGGCCTTATGACTATATAATCATAAATGACCATGTTGACCAGTCAACATATCATTGCTAAGATAAATTTAATGTTCCAACTCATGCAATCTATAGGGTAAACAGTAATGAATCATGTTTCATAGCTAGATTAATTTTTTTTAGGCATAGGCATAGGCATAACCCAAGTATTTGTCCCATGATCACAGACTTTGAGAATAATTTGATGCTCTGATGCAGACTATTAGCCAGGACCATGATTGACCTTGCACGAAACTAAGGGGAGTCACCCTGTTAGGGTATGGGGTGGAAGGGCCATACCCAGCATCCCCCCCCTCCCCTGCTCATCACTCTGCTACCATAATAATACTGAGCTACCCAAATGGATCCTGGAAAAATTCCGTCTGTGTTATTTCAGGGGCACTAGAAACTTGCCCCNTCTACGGGGCACCATTTTCAATCAGATGATGATGTGAAGATGACGGTTCGTCGCTGGCTGGAACAACAAGATGAAGCAGCTTTCTTTCGCGACAGTATAATGGCACTGCTTTCACGCTGGCACAAATGTGTGGAACATAATGGGAACTATTTGGGAAAATAAGTCAACAGAAATTTTAACACGTGTCATTGCTAACTATTACTGTGTACTTGCGTTCAATTGTGATAAATAATTTGCCAGAAAAAAAATCGGGAGCATTACTTTTGGGGTGACCCTCGTATACTGACGTTCCAATTCAGCAATAGGCAAGGTGGAGAGGCTCTCTCTTTGTTTTAAAGAATGATAGCTCAAAGTGAAGGAGGCAGGAAGCTCAGGGAAAGGAAAAATTGTTTAACCCTTCAAGTGCTGAGTTTTGACTCAACCTCGTAAGTGATGAACATATGGTGTATGTGAAAATGGCTTGAAGAGTTAACACAAGGCATCACTACCTGTCTCTATTCACTCCACTTCAGTGCCACTGTTTCCCTACAGAAACCAGAACGAAACTAGAAAAAGTAACTTAAAAGAAGTACATCTAACAGATGAAACGGTATTCACTTATTATCTTCATTTGCAAGAGTAAATTTTCAAAACTTTCAGAGTGACCCACATATTCATGCACAAGGCAAGTCAAAAGTCATGCCCACTTTTTGATCAGTAATAACTCATGACTGATGAATCAAATAGCAATATGGCTTAGATCATGTGAAAGTCAAGAGTGTTCTTCATATAATACACTCCTTCCATGTTATGTAGTTTTTATTTATTTCAAACAAGTGCCATCACTTCAACGTTATAAGCTTGAAATCCACATTAGTTTGACCAAGGCCAATTGTGGTCTCTGCTGTCAAGAGCAGCAACCACTTTCAAAGCAGTTGATAATTGTCACCTCAGTTCAATAAGGTTCAACCAGACATTTTCAGGATAAATGAGATGATGCCATCCAAATAATCCCCATGGGAAGTAGATTCATGAGAGAGATTTTGCATGAATTTCTTCAAGAAAAGGCTGGAATGATCAAATTTTAAAAGTTTTATCTGCCTGGGACTCAAAACTTTAGTTCAACAAGATTCTATCTTCAGTTCCTAGGCATCAACAAGACTCTTGGGACTTTTGATTGGTCTTTGATCCAGGTTAGGTAGCCTCCTTTTTGTCATCAGCCAATCATACCTCTGGCTACAATTAACATCATCCAATGAGACTTTTCCTTACACCTAAATTATGATTAAATAAAATAATGGCAAAGGTAGAGATTGAATTCAAATAGATGCTTCAACTGATGGTGACATGCAACTTTAAAGGAAATTCTCAGAACACTTGGATTTCAGATGACGACAACCTTCAATATTTTTCTCCAAAATATTTTTCCAGCAGAAACACCTGGGAGAACATCAAAGAATGCAAATAGAAGCTATTTAGCATGCCTGACATGTTTTTCAGAATTTTTTGTGGTGCTGTCAGGTGTTCCTGGAAGCCAACATTTTTTTTTAAGTACATGCCTTGAAAAATAATTCCTCATAGTTGAACTTTGTTTCAATCATACACATGTCACCAAAGGGTTCTTTAAAGTTAGGGCAGTCACATTTCAGCAACAGAGACATTTGTCCCCTCCAGCAATAATGGGGAATTGTCTGGTATATAGCCTCTACCAGTCCAAGAAAAATCTTGGAAATGAAGCGCAAAGGCCACAAGAATGGAAGGAAAACATCAAGTAGGCTAAGTATCAGGCTTGTGAGCGATATGTAAGCAGCAGCAGAAACAGCTTCCAATGAAGAAAGTGAAAAATCTTGATTACAGGGAGACATTATGTCAATTCAAACATTCTAGGAATGTCTCTTCAAATGAAAGAGAGACAATTCTGTTAAGTTCTGAGGATACGATGGGAAGAAGTGAAAGAAACAATGCAAGACCTGTCACTTAAACTCTTCAAGAAATTTTGAGAGAATTTCCTGGTGTGAAGCACCTAACCACATGGAGTGGCAGCTGTGTTTCCTACAATCGGAACCCCATCATGCCTCTTGCTGTGACTCATCTCTTCAGCCAATTTCCAAATCTTGAAAAGACAACTATGAAATTTGCTTCTCCTGGTCATTCACACATTCATCAGTCTAGTTATGCAGCACTGTTTCCAGAACCAGTTGGAAAGCATCTGACCATCTTTCAGGTTGCCAGGTCACCAAACCTAAACCCTTTGGACTTTTTGCCTTGAGGGAAATCTGAAGAATAATGTGCATGAATAAGCTTCATTTTCTTCTGTTCTGTCTATCTTGATGGGAAGTCAGATGTCATGCAACAGTATCTGCAATGACCCCATATTTCTGTGAATGATGAACAAGATGAACCAAGCAATCTTGAGCCAAATGAGGGATTGCATTGGGAAATATGGTTATCAGGTCAAGGCATATGAATTCTGAGTTGTTTCGTCATGTGGTACTAAGAAAAGTTTGCTTAGCAGCAGCACTGTTATTTTTCTCATTAGAGAAAACAAGATAAAGTTGCAATATTTTTCTTGGATGTTCAGTGCCATATTGCACTAGTGTCAATAAGTGCATGTTCATAAGAAATTATGCCACATACAAATTTGAAGTATTTTCTGTGAATGTGTGAAATTTTATGATTCTCTGTTAAAGGAAAGCCATCAAGATTTAAAATTGTTATCAGCCCTATGTTCTGCCCATCCCAGTATTACCTCTCTAATGCTGTGAGCATTACTTCACATAACTTCACAGTCCATTGAAATCTTTGACTAAGTTACTTTATTTTGATAAATTACTGTATTATTTTGAAGCCATTGGAAGAAGGCATGAAGCTTCCTCTGGAAGAAAAACTCTTCTTGAATACTATGATAAAGGCAAAGTTTTTCTTTTATGTTTTACATGTAAGAAGAAAAATCCAATGCAATCTCAAATTGAGCTAAAAACAAATGATGGAATAAATGCCTAGGATATTTGCCTTGATTTCCAATTTCTTCTCATGCATGATGAGGGCCTTTGGGTGGGTCCAGATGCGTGAGAGGACCTGGAAGTCAGAGAAGAGAGATGTCCCACCCCCTCTCTGCCTTGCCCGGAACCGGCTGTTATTTTCCAAGTAATGCTGGTAGAGGGCAATCTGGATAGGGCTCAACCGTACACTCACAACATATTCCAGCTTAGGAGGCAGGAACTGTGCCAGCTCCCCATAGTCTTTTCTCTGTGGAAGGAGTTAGAATATCCACCATCAGTGGCTGCACCCTCAGTATAAGTAAGAAGAAAAAAGATCAAATGAAAGTTGATCTGATTACTCACCTGGACACAGCCTTTGAGGAGATCATGAAGGACATGGGCCCGGCGCCTCATGATGTTCACATCAGCCTCTGTGGAATCACTATGCTGTCCATTCTCGATTGGGTTCATGAAGCGGTTGGTGAATTCCCTCATTGTGCCCAGGAGATTCGGCTTCACAAACTGGATCATACAATGATACTCTTTCAGGTTGTTCTGCAGGGGCGTCCCAGTGAGGACAATGCGTCGCCGTGTCTTAATCTGGCTCAGGATGCGGAAATTGAGACTCTTCTCATTCTTCAAGATATGCCCTTCATCACATACCACTAGATCAGGGCCTGCATCACATACATAAATCATTCACTCATGATACCCCCAGTATAGTTTTGATGAAGGAAATGCAAAAATGTTCACTGTACCAGGGTCCATAAAAGCATCTTTGTACAGCTTTCGATGCCGTTCCTTCAATTTCTTGTTGTTGGGGTTCGCAAGGAGTCGGAACTTGTCATATCCCATGATCATGACCCCACCATCTTGATGCCATCGTCTCACATGATACATGCGCATGTCAGCATTCTTTTCACTATGACCATATTTAAGACATTGGCTGCTGCAGAGAGGAATGTACCCTGATGACTGATATTATGACACTCACTTGGCAATGTTGAAGATGTCAAATTCATTGAGGCCTTGCCGTTCCAGCCACATTTTGAATTCTTGGTCCCAATTGAGAACCGTGTTGTATGGGCATAGCACAAGAGCAGTCTTGAAACCAAGTGCCTCACATGTGAGGACAGTATGGAGGAAGGCAACAACCTGGGTGGAGACACAACACTTTCAATTCTGGATGAAGAAAAGATAAGGTGGGAACAAAATCATATTTTTTGGAAAATCAACATCTTGGTGCAAACAAGTGTCAGCAAAGGGTTGAGCCCAATATAATCCCAAGTATCATATGAAATAGCCATCACAGATGACAGTCAGAAAATATAAGGGATATGGCAAATAGATAAATATTTTTTGTTAATATAAATTAAAGGGAAAATCATATAAAAACAGTCATTAATCTGCAATGCATGCAGCATTTGTTCCCCACCTCCTCTCAATCTGCATCTTTAACACTTTCGCTGCCATATGACCCGCCGGTGGGTCGTAAGGGCTCTCTCCTCCTAGGCCATACAACCCACCGGCAGGTCGTACGTTCTCTCTTCTCCTGGGTCATACGACCCGCCGGCGGGTCGTACAGGTCCTTTCTACCAGATCATACGACCTGCCGACGGGTGGTTTACATTGCTTTGGGGGATACGATCTATGGACCTCTTCCTTTCATCTCACAAATTTTATCGTCACCTTCTGATGAGGTCAATTTTAAATCAAATTGGTGGTGTTTCATTTCTCATTTCTTCTTTACAATGTTTTCAATATAAGCATATCTCCGTATAAGGGTAACGTGGAAATTACTTATTCCTCATTTCTGCATATAGGGCATATTACGGGAGTCTTTATATATAGTATGTACATGGATATATCAAAAAGGTCCAGAATCGGTTTTCATATGAGCAAACTATGTGCAGACGCTCTGTTTCAGAATAATCCCTTTTGGAATGCATGAATGACAAGAAAAGAATGCATGAACTTTCAAAAGATATCTTAGGTATGGAACATTAACTAATCAGACTTTTAAATTACCTTGCAACCGATGTTACAAAAGGATCTCGAGAACTTTAATATACTTAAATACCTATGGGTAAGTACTCAATACCGTATAAAACGACTCTACCGTTTCTTTCCCGTACGCTGACGGTAACGCTCCGTGCTTACCAAATTGCATGAGGATCCCTGAAAATGCATGCAGATGCATGAACTTTTTATGGATGAGTACACAGTTTTGACAAAGTTCTATTAATTTTTTCGCGATGATCATCCCAGAGGAACTGCTCCATTAGGCAAATATCAAATGCAGATTCGTACCTCCCCATTGGCAGTCACATGCCTGTTCACTCAGAAAATTTTTCCCAATTCTATTAAATCTGTCATGACTCAAGAATAGATGGGCAAGGGTGCATATACTGTACTTCAACAGCTCTTGAAGAACCTCGTCAACAAGGTATCCTTACATTTTTACGTCAATTCGCTGAAAACCTCGTCAACAAGGTATCCTTACATTTTCACGTCAATTCGCTGAAGAATTTATCTGTATAAAAAATTGTTCAAGTTGTTTAATTTTTTCCAGTCAACCCTCTAGTTCAACCTGACTTGCAACACACATTTCCTTTCGTTTGTAAAGAGCTTAGAACAGACTGTAACCCATTCTTGGCAAATTTGTCCAGCGCATTGGTCGCAAGTTGATTGGCAAGCACCTATGTCGTCGAAGCGGCGGCCATTCATTGAAGGCACCTCATTTTTGGAATCAGCCTGAAGTCGTAAGGTTCGAGGTCCAAGGAATACGAAGAATGTGGGAGCAATGGCACTCCAAGATTGGTTGGAAATTCAATGGTACGACATAGGTACCATTTGATTGCCAACAGTCATTACGGACAAGCTCAGTTTCGTCATTACGGCTTGTCGATTGCCGCCCCATGCGTTCATCATCTCCAGTGGATTTCACCTTTCACAGAATCGCTTGTGTCAAGCACACCAGAATTAGGAGGATTACTTTGGCCTTGGGGGAACGGCCTCCAAATATTGGCTTGGCAGCGAAAGTGTTAAGAACTTTTGGTTCTGCACACAGACGCATGACATCCCTTAATGGAGCTGAGGTTTGTAGTGATCTAGTGTTAGCAAGACATCCTTACGTTGCTTTAGCATGGCAACCAAACGATGGAAACTAAAATCAAGTCCACCAAAAGCACTGGATTCATCTTTGTTTTTAAAATTGTCAACATTTATTTGGTTTCCTTTTTCCTCCAAAGACATCTGAATCATACTTTTATAATATTCAATTCAAATTTGAAGATTTGAAGTTCCAGTGATTTGAAATATCAAATTTAGAATAAATAAATAAATTTCCATGTTATTTTGAGACTATATCAGAATATAATCTTTTGAAAGCTGAAAGGAATTAAATTCAAGTCACTTTTCAAAATCATTTTTGAAATTATCAAAATTTTCACATTTCAAATGATCAAATTCATACTTTCTTAGAATTTTCTAAGGTCATAAAGCCATATTGTCTTACATTTTGTGCTTTAAGGAACAAAGCAGGTAAAGTAGATATGCCAGGGGAATAAGAAGACCTTGGCAAGTACAGCAATTGTTAGTTCAGATGCAATACTGGCTCCACAATTCCTTGCTCCATACATGTTTGGTCCAACATCCAAGAAAAAATATATATATTCTGAACTTTGTACTCTCATAACTGAATCTATCATCATATTGATAACAACTGCATCAGGCACAAACAACTTTTTTGTTTGGAGATGGATGAATCTAAACCAAATTGTACATGTGTTCCAATCAAATCCTGCAAATCATATAGGGTCATTTCTGCTTTGTACTCAAAATTTTATAGCTTAACCTTTTAACTACCATTCTGTGTCCAGTGAACCCTGATACACAAATTTAGTCAATTGTGTAGGCTGCATCATAAACTTGAAAATTCTGATATGTATTTTTGTGAAGACATGTGATAGTAATTACGCAAAGTATTTTGAAGAGATTCTTCAGGAGTGAAGAGATGATACAAAGAGTTAAGCATATGACCATATGGGTTCAGGTAGTCACAGGGTTAAAGAAGGTAAACACTAGCTGGAATTAAATCTGGAATGATTTCTTTTCCCTGGAAGTGAAATTTGTCTATCCCAATATAATATAAGATGGAACATCTTTTTAAGGCTATATAATTTTCTTTGGGATGAACAAGTCACACCATACAAGGAAATGATTCTGCAATGAATATCATCTGCTTTTGTACTGTCTATGCACAGAAACTATATCACAGCCCTCTGATGTTGCTTGGATATATTTTCCATGGAGGTAGCCATCCATAACCAGCCACTGTGCACACATTCTTGCACGTGCAGTGGCACTAGCTTACATACTCAATGGTACTTAAATGTACATACTAGCTGCATACAGTTCCACAGCAATTCATAATTAATTATAAAAAAAAAAGAGTTTTGCTGTTTTCAGTTGATTCACTTTAGAATAACTTAAAATATTTGCAACTGCAAGAAAGCCAATGTCAAACTATGGTGACAATGAAAGAAGTAGATATTTAATGGAAAGTGACTGATGAGTATATTGGATTGTCCAGCCTTAGATACCCCACTAAAAGCATCTGGGATTTTTGCAGCAACAACCAACCTGTTCCTTTGAAGCCTCAACTTGAGTCCCACCATGTTCAGCAGACTAATGAACACATTCTTCTGATACACTTAGTTCAACATAGCAGGTGCAATTTGCTGACAACGTGCAATGTGTTTTATTGTAGTCTATCTTTTCCAGCTATGCTACAATTGGCATTGCCTGATTTATGGTAGCTCATTAAATGTGTGCTGTCACCTGCTTGTCAAAACATCAGAAAGGGGCTCGGAGGCTATCAGTGGCGAACCTAGGTGTTCTTGGCATTTGTCAGGCTTCTAATCAAGATTTATAAAATCACTCATGCATGATGCCTGCCCCCTCCACCCAGGAGCAGCATGCCACTGTGTAACAGAGGGGACAAAGGAGTCACCCTCTCCCTTCTGGGGAGAGGAAGACAAATGACATTTAATGACTCCTTTGAGGATTACAAGTGTAGCAATGTTGGACCAGACAGACTATAAATCATTTATATATTGTGGTTTTGTTGAAAAATCAATGTCTGGTGTGTATTATCAGGTGAAACTCTTAATTGGTCCATTCTTCTTCAGAAATGAAGCTGTCAATGAAAAAGACTGCCTCACATTGTTGCAGGAGTTTTTCATCCCGAATCTGAATCGGCATGCATTTTTGTAGCATTAAGGAAATCGATTTCCTGGCAGTTGGTGTTTTGAACCAAAATAACCACTTTATGGTGAGAGAATGAAAGTGACTCAAAACAAAGGTGCTGGCAAGTCACTTCTTTTTCTTATTAGCTTTGTAAACTATCAGGTTTGTTTGTAAAATGTGCCATTGTAAATCCATTGAAGACTCTTGCTTGCTTCTTTGCAAAGCGTATTGCCAGGAATAAGTGAAGGTACTTAATTGGAAGAACTGCCTTAGCCTCTTTAGACTAATTTCATTTTAATTGTGAAGTCAAATCACACAAAATTATACTCTTCATGGTATTCCCAATAATAAAGAAGGCTTACATTGCATGGCTTCTATTGAAGAAATTTCCTCATGCAAAAAGAGGTTGCAGATGTCAATATGTTATTAGACATTCTAACCAAACAGGCAGCTAGAATCATCATTTCACAATAACATACATACATGAGACTCCTTTTAAGAAATTCTCACGAGACTCTTTGGCACAAAAAATTTAATGGCACAAATATTTCTGTTAATCTGGCAAGATTATCCATCTGCAAATAAATTTTTGTTTACAAAAATGGGGTTTATAATGGCACATTTTACAAACAAACCTGATTGTTTACAAAGCTAATAACTAATAGAAGTCACTTACCAGGAACTTTGTTTAGAGTCACTTTCATTCTCTCACCATGAAGTGGTTATTTTGCTTCAAAACACCAACTGCCAGGAAATTGATTTCCTCAATACTACAAAAATGCATGCTGTTAAGTTTCCCAAACTTTAAGTAATTATTCCATTCCTTGGGAAAGGGGGAGAAATTATTTAGAAGAGTAATTAGAAATTTTAATGTTTTGGTATGAAACACCTCTGATATGAAAATATATAAAAATTTCATATTTACTGTAACTTCATTTTTTTACTTTTGATGTGTTCTGAACCCCTGTTCCCTGGTGTCAAGCAGTTTGTGACTGGTTACAAGAGACATTTGCATGCTGGATTGGGCAAGGTGAACGGACCACTTGCATGGCCACCCAACTTGACCCCATTGGATTTTTCCTTATGGGGTTACATCAAAGACTATGTGCAAACGACAAAACCACAATATATAAATAATTGAACAACCCACACCATTGCATGTTGTCAGCAAATTGCACCAACTATATTGGACAAAATGTATCAGAGGGGTGTTACCAGATTTCATAAGTGTGTTGAGCTTGGTGGGATTCAAGTTGAGACTTCAAAGGAACAGGTTGGTGTAAAAATCCCAGATAATTTTATCAGGGTATCTAAGGCTGGACTGCCCTATAGTATCTTTTATGAATACTAGAGGCTGATTTCTTCATATCAAATTCAAAACACAGGGCCACCTTGCATACCTGCAGTGTCTTGCCCAAGCCCATACAATGGCCCAAGATGCACCCCCCACCATGGACACCCTCCTGATTCTTTCGCTTCACAGACTCAATGCAGGCGTCAAACATAAATTGGATGCCCTCTCGCTGGTGTGGCTTGAGCTTCTGTACCAGTTTTGAATGCACTTCAACTAGGGACTCCTTGGTCTCTCGATCAAAGTCGAGGATGAGATCTCCCTTCTCCTGTGATGAATTTACTACTTCCTCAAGCTCCTGTAGCATCACCTCATTGAACTAAAAAGGAATAAAAATTAGAGTTCAAGACTTTATCACTAAGGGAAGAGATACAATGCATTTGACCATTCACCAACAGGTATTAAGTTTATCAGCATCATTGACACACAGGTTACATGTTTAAAGACAAAAGAGAAACCACATATCCTTCCAATTTTCAATTTCTGAGTTTTCATAGAGTTACCCTTTGAGTAATTTAGATACATCACACACACAGGGTGATGCAAAAATAGGTATACAGTTAGCTGTTTATTCCTTATTACTTACTATTAATATTTATTATTTCTATTACTTTTTGTTTAATTACTTTTCCGGTACACCTGTAACAGCCATTTTCATTGCTCAAAAGTCAGATTCCATGCCATTATACTCTACCAGTAAATACAAAAATAAAATAAAATTACTACTGCATACCTACTTTTTCCCCACCCTATACATGCTGCATGACTGCATTGACTGCTGTTTAATTCTTGTTAAAATGCTCCAACCAAAAATCCAATGGAATGAATTTCCAATTGAAAAAATGCCACAGGAGCTTATTTCTAATTTCTAATTCAGTCAAAATAGCTGAAACTTAAGCAGCAACATGAATTTTAATAGCAAAAATCCACTTTTGGCATTGCACATGATAAAATGCAAAGGGAAACACTGGGAACCAAACACAGAATGCTGAAAATTATCCTAACTCATAGTAAACCAGAAGCAAATCATCCTTGAAATGCCTGGAACATCAAGTTCCAAATGTGTTACAATTATTATCACTTTTTTGCACTGAAAATCATTAAGGAAATAAAATATAAAATATCCAGCAGTAGGTTACAAAACATAGGAGTGTCAACACCAGCAGGGGACTTCCAAATGAGACTCTTTAAACACATGCCAGATAGATGGAAATAGGGCTGGGGTGAAAGGCCTGTATCAGTGACATCTACTCCTTTCACAATCCATGGAATAAAAAAAAACTTATATGAATTGTTTATTCTGCTGCCATTCCATGCAAGATGAGGAGAACTTATCAAAATAGTAATGTAAAACAAGCCAAGGATAGAAGATATAACAGTCACTATTGAAGTACTATGTCTGAATGGATAGATTGCTACTGCAGAACAATTGGCAAAGAAATGAGAGCAACCCCAATATATATCTGGGGAAGGGGTTAGAGGGAGAATGAACATAACAAACTGAATGGAAAACCTTGCAAATGGACTCCAATGCATAAGGTAATTACATCAATTTTTAAAGCATGGCCTAATGACTGGCTGAAGACTGCAAACTCTGGAGGACAGGTCAACGCTAGTATGTAAACATCATAGCCATTGAGCATCTTTTCTCAAATTTGATCTCTCAATTTCTCTATGCCTCTGAAGCAGCCTCCATTTGTCATCACCAAAACTACATTTACACTTTAAAACTGGACACTGAAATTTATTCAAAATATGGATGAATAAAAAGTTAATTTATGTTATTCTTATGTTATAGTGCTGATAATATTTTTGCTAGTCATCAAAACCTAAAAATTGTAAGCAATTTTACAAGAAGCTGTGGAACTGTGGAAGCTGTGGAAGCTTCTGGAACTATAACATTGCTTATTTGTTAAATATGGATGTCCCGTGGAATAAGATCTTAGTATGGAACCTTTCTTCTATAAAATTCTAAAGGTATCACTCACAAGTTTTTGTTTCTCAGAAATTCTTGCCAAACGCTCTCTTTCCTCCCGGTTGGCATCCTGGGTCGTCACCTTCAATTGGGAATCTTTAAGAATCTTGTGGATATTTTTCCTACGATCCTTGCTTGGGGAGTCATTGCTCTGACTGGATACAATTTCAGTGACATCATTGTCCTCTTCATCAGAGTCTGCTACCTACATGGAATAAAACACACTTCAGGCATGCAAATGATGATTCCAAAAAGTTTATAAAGAAAAATCAGATCTGTACCTGGATGCGCCTCCTTCTCTTACTTCGAGGTTTCCCTTTCACCTTTTTTACTTCCATTACAGATGATTCAGAATCTGAACTGACTGGGGAGGGAGAGGCCAACTGGATGCTGGAGTCATCACTTTCCTCAATGGCCTTCTTTCTTTTTGCTTTTGGTTCATGTGACTTATCACTCCCTGAATCTGGATCACTAGAGTCCAAAATCTGCTGTTTCCTTTTCCTGCATTCCCACAAAAACAGGCTGACTCATATACCATGACTCTTCTAACAGATATCACTTGTCTCAATACAGCAAGAAAGAATGTTAATTTCATGGCATACAAATTTTGATATAACATGCAAATCACAATGAGCATCACAGTGTGAAACATAAATATTAAAAACATTTCCAACTCAGTAACTGCAAAGCAGTTGGCAGCAGTTGTTCTATTCTTTAATGCTTTTCTAAAACTAAAAGCAATACCTGATATGAATAAATATAAAGAAATGGAATTTGAAGATTGCTCATGCCAGTTTTGAAACATGCACTGAAGTTTTGCTAATCTGAAACCACTCAAACCAAATTATTGTAAAACAGCTTGTAGATTTGAGGAAAAGCTTAAGGAAGTTATAAATGGAAAGGGCAACAAAATATCCAATCCCAGAAAATTTCTAGGCAGCCAGTGTCATCCAGTTAAGGCAGCCAGTTAAGGCTGTCATTCTGACTTTAAAAAAATCCTATTCAGTGTAGTTTATGCTGTCAGGTGGTGCTATAGCTGTAGATTTTAAGAGGAAAAGCTACACCTAAAAATCAGAAACAATTGCAACTTAATTCTGTTTGGAAGTGCCCACTTTGAATACTTGTTGGCTTGACTAACGTCATAACTAAAATTCTTAGATGACAAAAGCATATGAAAGAAAGGGAAGAAAAGTTTATTTTGAAGGAAATGGCCCAGACACAAATTCAGTGTTCTGCACTGCCAGATAGGACCAATGCAGACGAGGAAGGTGAAACATAAGAAACTATGGGTGAACTCGCCCATCAAGAAACTCATCAAGGCTTGTAACAAAGCTGCAAAACAAGGTGACATCGCCACTTCCTCCCAACTTCAAACCACAATTACATGAGAAATTCAAAAGAATAAAAAGAGGCTAAGCAACAGGATCCTCTCAAATTCAAGGAACAAAAGCCTGGGAGCATGGCATGTAATTCGCACACTGATCAACAAAGAGCTCCTCGAGGAGCACATAAACCTTGACAATATAGTCGAAACTCAGGGCTATCCAACAGGCCAATGCCCTGAATGCCTTTAATGGAAGACATAGCACCAACACCCTTATGGTTCCTTATATTTTCTGATCTCCCCAACAGAGTATGAAGCAACGGAAAAACCTCCTAAGGTCAAGACACCACAAGTCTATAAAATGTTATGTGATCTGAAAACTAATACTGCTATGGAACCTGAAGCCATCCCAGTTGTCCTCTTGAAAACCTGTGCTCAGAGCCTATCACCTGTTCTGGCTCACATATTTCAGCAATCTATTGACAGAGGCATTTGTCCTGCCATCTGGAAGCACACATATTTGAAATTGATCCCAAAAGTGCTGGTTCCCACCAAAAGTAATAACCTTAGTCTGATCAGCTTGACAAGTGTGATTGGAAAAGTCTGCAAAAGAATCATGTGCTCCTCTCTCCTAGAAGCTATAAAGGCAGATCTTGACCCAAATAAACATGTTTATTCCCTCAATAGGTCCATGACTGCCCTCCTGAACAACATCAACTTCATTGGTAGAAAAACAGATCAATTATCAACATATGTACAATATCTACTAGACTACAGTTCTGCTTTTGATACTGTCTCACAAACTGCTTTGGTTGACTATCTCTAGTCTTAAAATCCTGCATTGGATCCTACATTGGTTCTGCAACTTTTAAAGTGAAAGAACCCACCAAGTTGTGATAGAGAGTCACCTCTAATCCACTTCATTTAACAAGGCATCCCCCAAGGAGCAGCCTCCTCTCCACTGCTATTCATCACTTACATCAACAAGCTTAGGGTAAACCAGAGGAACACCCTCTTAGTAAAGCATGCAATGACACCACTCTACTTCAATCCATTCAGAGCCTAAAAGACTTCGAGGACTACCAAGCAAGCATCAATTACATAATGAAATGGTTGAAGGATAACTCCCTTCACTTTAACACCTTAAAAAAGCATATAAATAATATTTTACTTCTCCAAGGACAAATGTATCACTGCCACCCTTCCAAAACCAGTAATACACAGTGAATCTGAACAATCCCTGAAGTCAACTGTTTGAAATTACTTGGCCTCTAGATATCCTCATCCCTCAATCACCATATCCACCACTGCCTGAAGAAAACAAACTTCTGCATGTTCATTCTCTACTATCTGAAATGATGCAATGTCACCTCCAAAGTCCTCCCACCATATTTCAGCACCTCCATCTCATCTGTGGTGAACTATGCATGTAAAATATATCACTTTCCTTCTCAAGTGAATCAAATATGAAGCTCAAACAATTAAGGAAGAGAGCTTCATCAACAATCAGAGAAGACCTCGAGCCTCTAGAGACAGGACAGAGTCAAAGAGTCCTGAATTACCTTCAACAACTCTATTGATCCAACTCCAAACTTCTATCCCCATCAAGAGAAGCAAGAAACAAACTTTGTTTCAACAAGAAATGCCATACCACAAGATACCAAAAAAAAACCTTCTTCCCTGCTGTGATGAGCATGTACAATAACATCCAGGGTCCAAAGAACCTCATCTGAGAAGTCATTACTGTTCTCTATGATGGCCTATGACATTGTCTGGATCCATTATTAATGTTTATCTTTTACCTTTGACAACATTGGTTGCTGCCCTTTAGCACGTTATGATAATAAAAACCAACCAACCAGCCAATGACCAGACTGCTTCTGGATCATTCCATAATGACTTATTTTACATTTTTTAAAAACAATTTGGCTATTACAGTACTGCCAGAAAGTTTGAGGCAGGTTGCAAAAATGATTCTTTTTCAAGAAAAAGGCCAATAAAATGTAATGCTCTTTTTCAAAGAAAATTTAAATGATTAATCATGGTTTTTATTAGTCGAAAATGTTCTTTTGTTTGCTATTTTATTTTTTTCTAGGACTTGCAAAATTTTCCCACCTGCCTCAAACTTTCTGGTGGTACTGTAATTGCACAATGCTTCCAATTTCCAATAGAGGAACTTGACAAAAGGAATTGAGATAGTAGGCATTAACCATTTGCTGATAATAGTACTTTTGTTTTCTTATAGCATTTCTGATAGCAAAAAAGAATAGTTTGAGTTCTTGTGACTCATGTTACATTTAAAGGGCACACTCTCCGGGAGCTGATTTTCAGAAAAAAAAAAACAGCTTTATTTGAAGGAAGACCTGATCATCGCTCAACTCCCTTTTTACACCAAACACAAAGGATAAGTCTCCTTATGTCTTCACTCTAGAATCTATTATCAGAAAGATATAAGTATGAAAAGTTGCTTGTGATTCATATTACACAAAGTTGAATGGGTCAGAGAATACTTTTCTATAAAGTTTTTGGATTAGTCCAATTTTTGTGCATTGCATTTAAGAACAGTTTGCATGCAGCATGGAAATATAAAATATTGCATTGCCCATTCTTAATTGCCATCAAATGTAGAATTTTTTCACATTTAAAACTTGTTCTCTGCATCCATGGAATAACTCTTCTACTAATCAAGACTTTGGTCTTTGGGCACATTGGCACATTGGTCGGGCTATTTCAGGGCTTTTTTAACATGCAGTCACTTCTTGTTATACTGCCACTTGATATAGCGCCGCCCCTGCTTATTGCCAACCACTTGTACTTGACAAATCTCCCCATAGGCCTATATATTACAGGATATAGTTTATTCGATATAGCTCCACCCTTGTCATAGTGCCAAAATCGGCAATGACCAACTGTGGCGCTATATCGAGGGTTGACTGTACTTATCCTGGAGTTAAGCTTATCCAGTTTTTAGGGTCAGGTCAGGTGCTAGTGGTGTAATGTGCCTCAAAACCAAGACCTGGAGTAGCAGAAGCAGTCTGGGTATCACTCCAATCTGGCTGTGCTGAACCATACTTGAAGGACATAAACCCCACTAGAGATTGCCTGTTCCCTTGATCATCATACTGTATCTACTTCCACAGAGCAATTAATACTGGCTACTTTCAGCAGCATAAGTGTGAACTTTTTCAGCCAATGGAGAGTGCATTTGTGACAGTTGTGAAATAGACTTAAGCGGTAGGTGCAGTCAGTTGACGCTTCTCTGCCATGCTCAATTCATTCCTTACGGCCAGCTGTCACTTGTGTAAGATTTCCATAAAAGACAAACTACACTGAAGGTTTTAGCAGGACCATGCCTCTGATGAGGTTCTTGCCGCTCTCTTTCAGATTCCAAGGGCTTCTGTCACTTTTCTTCTTCCTTTAATTTATTGCCTTTTTTCTTGATTACATAGTTTGGCTTTTTGGCTTCAGGTTGCAGAAATGCATCTTGCCTTCTACTCAGATTTGGCCAGTTTGATGTCTGTAGCTGCTGGCTTAAAATGACTTAAAATGAGCAACATAGATTACCAGGGACCTGAGCTCTTTGTATTAAATTCTTTGACGACTGACAGCTCTGTTTCATCAACAACTGATGTTGCCAAATTACCAGTTTTAGCTAGGATGGCTTATTTTGTAGAAAGTATGAAGGACAAGACCTGTCAGCAGTGACCAAGCAGTAAGTTCTTCAGATATGATGGCTCCTAGATATTACAAGTGAATTGTGTATCACAGTAGCATTGCCTCATACATACCATTTGAGACTTCTGTAATCAAGTCCATGAATTTCAAATGCAACCAGCATCAACTAATGGTGGGAAACTATGGTTTTGATGAAAAGAAGCAAGGAAATAACAGAAGGCAATATTGGCTTCCTATTAATGAGAAGTGCATTATAGTATGTGGCAAAAAAATGGCTACACTGCTGTCCAGATTTATAACTTCATCCAGAAGTGGAACTGGGCTGCAATAATTTTTTTAAAAGTAGAGGTTGAGTGATTATTTATAAATAGTTCCGAGATTTTGAGATTTGTTTACATTTAGATGCAATGGATTCCAAAAGAGAAGCTGTCAATTTAATTCACACTGGGAAGACCCCCACCGAGATTGCCAAGGCCCTGAACATCCACAGGGTCACTGTGTACGAGGTCCACAACAAATTTAAGGCCATGGGCAGTGTCAAGAGGAAGCCTGGAAGTGGAAGGCTACATTCAGCAAGGACTCTGGTGATGATCAGAGCAATAAGGAAAAATCCAGCGCAACCCCATACACTCCATGAGGAGGATGGCCAAGGAGACGAATGTGAGTGAGAGGAGGAGGAGAAGCAGGAGAAGCAAGAGACCGACGCGACTTCAACTGGCGCCTGTTTCTACAGGGTGGCCCAAAAAAAAGGGCACTCTTTTCAACTCGCATTATAGGTGTGATGCTTTCATGGATATTTTTTCTGGTTGCATATAATATAAAGAAGAAAGAGACAGCTGCAAAATGCTTATTTTCAGATTTGAAATATCTTATAGGATGACTTGAGAAAAAATAATTGAATTTCGGTTACGAAAAGTCGGCCTTCTGAAAAAATGAACTCAAAATGTATTATAACCTCGTTCTGAAGATCTCTGCCCAGGGTTGGAACTAATTCCCTCCCTCCTGACTCACACCCACTTGTGCGCGCAGGTGATTGTGTGTGTCTGCGTGTAAGTGAGTAGCAGGAGAAGCAGGAGACCGGCGCGTTTTCAACTGGCACCTGTTTCAACAGGGTGCCCCAAAAAAGGCACTCTTTCCAACTCGCATTTTAGGTGTGATGCTTTCAAGGATATTTTTTTTCTGGTTGCATATAATGGAAAGGAGAAAGACACAGCTACAGAATGCTTTTTCAGAAGGCCGACTTTTCGTAACCGAAATTCAATTATTTTTTCTCAAGTCATCCTATAAGATATTTCAAATCTGAAAATAAGCACTTTGCAGCTGTCTCTTTCTTCTTTATATTATATGCAACCAGAAAAAATATCCATGAAAGCATCACACCTATAATGCGAGTTGAAAAGAGTGCCCTTTTTTTGGGCCACCCTATAGAAACAGGCGCCAGTTGAAGTCGCGTTGGTCTCTTGCTTCTCCTGCTACTCACTTACACATGGACACACACAATCAGCCGCACGCACAAGTGGGTGTGAGTTGGGAGGGAGGTCCAAGAAAGAAGAGCTGCGTGCGAGGATTCAAGATTTCATGCAAATCGGGAATTAAAACCCCGCATTCTCTATCACCTGGGAGAAAGTAAGCAATCTTGGTGTCATTTGATCCCTGAAGCATCTCTATGCGATAGGAACAAAAAAAATCCAGTATCTGCGACCGATGAACCGGGGAAATCGACCTGGTAGGACAGAAATGGCCTCAATTTTAAAATGGGCCACAGCAAAAAGCTATAGGCTCTGAGGATAGCGAACGGATTCTCCTGAAAATCCACACGAAGCTTCTTGAGAGACTTCTTAAGAGACCTATCAGAGGAATTTTTGAATTTTGGCTTCATTTTCGAGCAATGTCCGTCAACCTCAAGTAATTTCCAAAAAAGTGGCATTTTCGCGTGGATCGTCGAACTTTGAGAGCGAACAGTTGGAGAAAACTATGCGCAACTCCGCCAAAAGATGGATCAGGATAGCCTCCAAAAAGTGTAGCATGCTTTTGTCGATAGCAAATTTCTATGAGGAATGAGAGCGGAAAAACAGAATCCGAAAAGGGAAAATTTCTCAGTTATGGCGCCATGGCGTCTCGATAACGACGATTACATGCATGAATTCATTTTTTTTTCCCATTTAGCACGATATCTTCCAAGGAGAATGGCATGAATTTGACGTTTCTGCAACCAATGGTTGGGGAGATGCAAATTTTCAAAGAGAAGCATGTAAATCGTGACCTTTGACCTCAAATCATGGCCCCAGGTGTGACCTCAGAGAGTCAGCAATCGGCTGATGGCAAAGGGCCAAGGCCCTTTCTTGAGGTCCCTAAAACAATTATAAAGCGGAATTTCGATCCAGAGGGGTCCATTTTCATCTTCCCATAGTACCTTAAATCAACTATTTATTACTAAGTAAATTTTTTGTAAAGTCTCTCCTTGTTTAGTTCTTGATGAGGTAAATCCGGACATGAGTGTAGCCATTTTTTTGCCGCATACTGTATTACTATTATTACTGCTACTAAAGATGGAATGAACTTCTTAAAACAGCCATCTGAATCTCACAATCATGTTCCCAATGAAGATATCAATGAAGGGCTGTCAGCAGTTGACAGAAGAGAGGAGTCTACACCTGCTGTCACCATTACAGAAACAGAGCAAGATTCCTTGTTCAGATGCCTCTGGAGTGGGACTATACTTAAGCTGCAATGTTCTCCATTGGTGCAAAGGTAGAAGTAACCTTTGACAACATTCCTCCATAAAGTGATTCTTTTCCAGAGCATATGATGATGGTGGTCACATTAGGAAGCCACAAATATCAATACTGAGAATACAAAAGCTATTTCTGCTTAAGGCACTGCCACAGCGGCACTTTACAATGTCCTATGCCTGGAAGCCATTAGTGTATGAAGTCAGAGTACAGGGTTTTCAGTCTCTAAAATGGTACAATGGCATGCTTGTTTTTACAGTGAAATGGTTTCATTTTAACATAATAGTCATTCTGCAAATAGATCTCATCTACAATGTGAATTTTTGTTGAACACTCCCAACTTGGGCTACCTTCATGGTTTGATTCATTAGATCTTATCAGCACATTAAGGTTGGAAATCATTCATGTGACCCACCTTAGATCCTCAACTACTTTACTTTTGCATGCAAGCATAATTACTATGAAAACATATATATAAATTGATGCCATCAACTACCACAGATACATGAAACATTCCTAATTGAGGCAATCACAAAGAAAACACATCTCCAGCATGTCATACATGTACAGCTCTCAAAACAAACAAACCTTTAGGACTAATCCTCAATGTGTTAATTATAAAATGGAACATATAAGTCAATGGAACATCTAAATAGCCTTCACTTAAAGAACTTTGACTTTGACTGAAACACGTTGAAAATTTTTGTAGGCTAGATCCAACTTGCAGGCTCTAGGTTGACTATTGCTGTCATAGAGCCCTTCATATTTCCTGAAGAGACTGGGATAGAACACACTTAAGAACTTCATGGAAAGTTAGGATTTATTCTACTTCAAAGGAAACTTTTTTCTTTTGGTGTACAAATACTGCAACATACCTTCCAGGACTGAAGAAGCTGCCTTCATAATCCTGTTTCTTCTTCTCCCGGGCTTTTTCTAATTTCTGGCATTTCTTCTCCTCCTCACTTGTGTCTGTGTCACTAAACTTAATTCGCAATAAGTGTAATGCTTCTCTAACAGCTGCTGATTTCTCTTTCTTGAATTTGTGTTTCCTCTGGAGACTTTCCTCCTTCACATTTTCATTGTCCACCTCAATAGCTTCTTCCTTGACACCCACTGGTGCTTCTTCTTTGATTTCCACTGGTACTTCATCATCTTTCCCCATTTTGTCCCCCTCGAGTCCCACTTTCTTCTTTTGCACCTTCTTTCCCTCTTGCTCACCTTCAGATTCTGTGTCTGAATCTGGAATGCAAGTATTGGTGGACATGTCATGCAGTCAGTCTTTTTTGTTTCTTTGGGCAATCTAAGTATCAGGGTAAACCAAGGGGTTCAAAAGCAGAGCAGTATAACTCGTAACATATCACTTCTTTTAAATACTCCTATTAAAAAATGGAACTGATATATAAACTGTGATTACACAGACAAAAATGTTGACAGAATAACAGCCAGAACAGATGTCCTGGCTCTGCTATTCTGTCAACATTTCATCTCAGTGAAGGTATCAAATATCAAGTGATTTTGTATGAGGAAAAACAGTAACTACACCATTTTTCTGAAAATTAAGTAGATCTCAATCAAAAACACATTACTTCTAAACCCTTCAACAATGGTTTAACCAAGACACCATACTGATTCATGTATATTTGTACAAGCAATGATCTGCCCACTGAGACACACTTCCCTGCTGGTTGCAGCCTCCTGGTTAAATATCTAAAAACAACCTGGCCAAAGCATTCATGGCTGGCTGACAAAGGGAAAGCTGAGACAAGCTGGTACTTTCAGCAGGGTATAGTTGTACCATCTCACTCAGCATATATCTAAATTATAATACCAATATGCTAGTGTGTTTGTCTGGATACTCCTCCTATTAGGTTAATTGGATCCAAGCAAAACAGCTATTAATGTTACTAAGGCCTCAGACATATCCACATATCATTTCAATAAGTATCAACTAAAACTAAGGGGGCTGTGACTCTGGGGTTCATTGGCCAAGTGGATTTGGTTTCTGAGTGAAACCCAGGAAGCAAGGGATAAAGTCTGTGCGGCAGCAGGCTCTTGCTCTGCCGACAGGTGACCCACCTGCTTTCATGGGGAGAGTCTACTTAGTGTGAGATAACACACAAGCCACTCTGTTTGCCACATATAGGAGATACAGTTGTAGTACACCTTAAAAACCACTCATACCAGTCATGGACAAAGGCAGCTCATGAGCTGCCCTTAAGGCCTCCTACAGGACCATAGAGGGGTTGTCCCAGGTTAAGAGACTGTGATTGAGCTGTGGTGCTTGTGCCAAGCAGGCACCCCCTGCCTCTCTGTGTCATGTAAAAATACATCCATTGTTGTGTACATCTGTCACATGTCCTGTCCTTAAAAAAAAATAAGGTGTGACTGAGTCATGAGGACAAATGCTCAGGTAGATAAATAAAAGTGAGTTTTGGCTCCTATGATAAGTGTCCTGGATCTGAAACCAAGTTAGGCATTTCTTAGAGAGCAAGCCAAGCATGTTTGTAATGGGAGACCTATGGGCATTTGGGACTCTAGCCACCACTAGATTTGGGACATAGAAGAACCTGTGATGAAAGCCAAATCCAGGATACTTTTTACCACAACAATCCTCACACCATTCTGCAGCTAAAGAACATGAAAAGCAGCATTCATTAGATTTCTGGTGATGTACTTTTTAAAAACTTGCAGCAGGGTCATTATATCTCAAATCAGCTAGAGGCCGAAGCATGACCCCCTCCGATTTTGATGAAAATTTTTCATGTTGTACCCCTCATGGCCCAAAGTAAGAATGCAAAATTTTGGTTTCTGGTATGGAGCAATTTTGGCACAATGATTCATTAAATTTTGTGAAATTTAAAAAAAGGGGCACTTCTTCATGTTCAGATATGACAAAAAGTTTTTGGCCTAAATGAATGCAGCAAACACCATTGTTCTTTAACACGTTGATGACCAGCCTATTTTTGCTTGTCTGCCGCGTGGGACCACACGCATTTTTTTTTTGTCAAAAAATACGTCCTGCCATCAGGACGCATGGTCCCAAAAAACTTTTTTTTTGCCGAGTTTTTTTAAAATGTTGAATTTTTTGGAATTTTTATAAGTAATTACGAAATCATAATCTTCTGGAACGTTCTCATCAGTTCCAGAGGGTATTCATTGGAAAAAAAAGCTGCATCCTGGCATCAGGACGCATTGTCGCCAACGTGTTAAAGGAACTCTCTTTAATTATGTATTTTGTGTGCAATACGTGGGCTTTGGATGTGACGTTAGTTTCTTTCCTCTTTGAGGCACGAATGTTCGAGAACTCTGGCTTTCGAAGACAACAATCCCGACTTTATGGAAGGGGTTCCTGCCGAAGTGGGATGTATTAGAACGACTAGAGCTGAAACAGGTAGCACTGTTCTTTTTTACACGTTTGTCTGACCTTGCAGGTAACATAACTATCAGTTTTTTTCTTGGTAGGTGGGAATGTTGTACGTGGAAGATGGGGCCTTGGACGGAACGGTCCACTTGAAACACCTGACGCTGAGTGAAAACAAACTCACTTCCATTCCCATGGGGATCTTAGCACCTAGTCTCACCACTTTAGATCTGTCCAGGAACAGCGGAGGGAAACGAATCTATTCCTATTTTCACATTGGAGAATTGGCATTCCGGAACATNTCACCATAAGAGATCTGCATGGACCACGGCAATCATAGATACTACAGAGCCTGATGATCAATATGTGATCGCTAGATACTCGATATCTAGCGTTTTGACAAGACGTTTTTGGTACAAGACGTTTTTTGGAACCTGCATCCTGCCATCAGGACGCATTGTCCCATGTGGCAAAAAATCTGCATCCTGGCATCAGGACGCATTGCCGCCAGCGTGTTAAAATGATTAGACTTTCAAAGTTATTTCATATACTTTTTTCCTTGAGGCAAAACTGAATGACATAAAGCCACGTCAAAGTTACTTCACTGGCTGAGACGAACACATCAGCAGGCATGTCTGGTGCATTTTCTTAGCCTTCAAGTTTTAAACAGTGTATCACATGATACATTTGGTCAATATTGTTCAAAAATTTTCAAAAGTCTTCTTTTATCTATTCACATGCAGTTTGGGAAAAAATGGGATGATTGGATGAAATTTACTATCATTCCTATAAAAAAAAAAACAAATTGGCACAGTTTTTCTTGAGCTTGTTTGGCAGACTTTTTACATTTCAAGTTTGAAATAGCATAGAATGTGATACAAAAAGTCAATTTTTTATTTATTTGGCACATGCCTTCTTTAACCTATCTACATGCAGTGTTTAAAAAATTAAGTTGATCTGATGAAATTTACAGTCATTAATAGCAAAAATGATTTGGCACAGTTTTTTTTGAAGCACCATGTATTAGATAGGAAGGGATGGGTCTTTTGCACCTCAGCACATGGAGGATCTTTGTACTAGAACCTCATGTATAAGTTAAAATAATAATGGAGCCAGACTGGACTATGTGAATGGGAAATATTAAAGTACTTCTTTGCACATCATCCATGTCAAGTGGGTGATGTGCAACCTTACCATTTGGTGCAATGTTTCATTTTTTTTAAATATCAAATGATAGAGTCCACTTTATCTAAACAGTGTCCAATACCTCTGACCTTAGAAAGCATAAATTTAAAAATACATTTTGAAATTAACATTTTAAAGAACACATACTAATAAAAAGTCAAACAAAATTCAAAGCAGGTGTTCTTACTTAATAAGTTATTCCTGAGGAATAAAGGAAAAGATGAAGAATGCATAACACATTCAATATTTTTGTAACTTTAATTTTTAAGAGAGTTTCTCAGGGGGAGAATTTAGTTTTTTAGGTTTTTGGAACAAGGAAAAAATTTTAGTTTGAAGGATGAGGATAGCCTTTTGGAATTTATGAAATCAACTTCCTCTCTTTGTCTCTTTCATGATTCTGTCTTTGAGGTGACAGTCTCAAAGTACCAGTGTTTAACATATAATGGTAAGATGAAGTCACTGATGTCCAACAAACTTCACAGGTATCATCAGTGCATATTTGATGGACAGCCTATTTAGGATTAGAATATTAATGTTGAATTTCACAAGACCAGATGAGAGTTCAGCTACTCTCACAAAAATAAATATTGGACAGACACATCTGGTGAGTATGCAGATCACCAAATATTCATTTTGTTGGAGATGAAATCCAGAGAGAACTCTAAGTCAATTCAAACATTTCCTGGTAGTACAATTGCTAGTGCTCTCTTCCAGGAACCAGAAAGGTTCTGCATAAGTCTTTTCATCAGAGCAAACCACACAAATCTTGTGAATGAGCAAGTATCATTCTAGCAGCAAAGAAATGGTTACATCCTGTTTGGTGCCCTTGAAAAAGTAGTCCAATTATTCCTGTGGCAGTCAAGATAAGCAAAACCATTGCCTTGGGGGAGAGCAATAGTACTTCCATATTTTCATCAATTTCTGTTCTTGAGAAATGAAAATTCTTCTGGGAACAATGTATGACAATGCACTTCTGAGGGTGATATCCATTTGAATATAGTTTTGCTATTTGTACAATGCTTGTACATTTTTTTTTAGCCACTCTTTGCAATAAATTCCACTAGGAATGTCTACATTTATGTGGGGAAAGTTAAAAGCCCTTAAATCAGTGAATATTTTTAAGAGCCAAAGACTATATCAAACATCATCATGTTCCCTTCAAGAAGAATTATAAAGGAAAAAGGCACAAGGAAATGGTGAAACAAAAAACATAACAAAACTGTACCATTTGATGCATTGAGTAGAACTGTGGTTGAGTCACTGTCAGAGCTCTTCAGGAGATCATTGAGAATCTTCCGATTCACCTCAGTGAGTGAAAGCTGCTCCTTAAACACCTGTGGCCCTTGAAAGCCTTGCATGAGCACTCCATCCAGTGTCTTGACATCAATGCCAGCATCAGCATCATCTTCATCCAAATCACTACTCCAGCCATCTCCACTCTCCCTGTCTTTCTTCAGTGATTTTTTCTTTCCCCTTGAACCCTTTTTCCTCTGCTTTCCCTGATCTTCCTCAATGCCTTCATCATCTTCATCTTCCAATACTTTCTTTTCAACAGTGACCGACTTGAGAAGCCTTGGTGTGGGGAGAAACAAAGTCAGCATCATATGTATGTTTCTTATCACTACTACATCTGCTTGGTCTAGACTGGAGGGGTGCCCAAAGTGCAGCCTGCAGGCTGGATCCAGCTCACCAAGTGCAGTAGGGAACACCCCCTTTGGACACCACTGGTCTAGACAGTCAAAATCACATTTACAAAAAAAGTGACTGTTAGAATAATTATCATGATAAACTGCAAATGGTCTCAGAAAACAGATGGGAAACCTCAGGAGACCAGAGCCACAACAGAATCAATGAGTTTTTTAAGGTTGCACATTCATGCTTGCAACCACATTATTGTACAGGGTGGCCCAACAAAAGGTAACCAAAATACTTAAGAAGACATCCCATGGTTTTTAGCTATTCCATGTTTCACATATATATGTTTCATACATCAGATAATAGGTTTTAATCTTTCAAAATCATTACACAAACAGGCTCACAAACTATCTCCAAAAAGCCTAGTCACATTGTAAGCATAGCTCTATCTGTTGGACAATGACATCAACCATATGACTACAGCTATTGAACATAATTAACCTCTTTAGGGATACTGGCACAATTGTGGATGTTTGATTCAATGTATTTTCAATCGGTCAAAAATTGATCACCAACTGCTCAGATGATGCTGATGTTGCCAATTTGCTGAGAGTTTTTCATTTCAGTTGTAATCACTGCTCTTCCCCCTTGCAAAGTACTCTAAACCTGCAGTTTTTTTTTACGATTTTTTTCAGTGTAAAAAAATTTAAGTTTTCCAAATAATTCCAACCTGTTCAATACAACCATTATGATTGTTCCATCATTGCTTCCTAACTCCTAAAATAATGTTTTATGAGTGAAATTCTTTCTTTCAGTGGTAACTGGGATATATTTCTTATAAAATACTTGTAGCAAACCATTAAATATGAGACTACATTTCAGTCTTTTTGTTTTTGGACTACCTACAAGAAGTTCAAAGTTGGCACAACACAAGAACTCAAGTTCGTACATGAAGTCTACCATTTGAATGCCATACTGCCATGTCATCATGCCACGTCAGTAACATTGGAAAACTCTCCAAGCCACTTCATTTTTAATCAACAACAAATGTAATTTGGAACAAAGAAAGGTGAGTCTCCTTCTTTCTTGAAAATATGGAAGCTCCTGGTGAAGTCAAATCAGACAGAATTGGGAGAGAGCCAGGAGAATGAAAACTGCTGTCTAAACTATGTTACATCAGTAATACAAAATGAATGGTCTTACTTTTTTTCAACCATAGGAGCAATTAGAACTTTTTGGCTAGAATATGTGTATGTATCTGTGACACATACACCTATTCTAGCCAAAAAGATGATAAGATACAATTAAATGAGAATTTTTTAACCAAACCATATTCAAGGCATACCATCATACTTGCTTTTCATTTTGAGTCTAGTGTTATATCAGCAACTTTGAAACTGCCCCTCTCAAAATGGCCTGGTCACTGTATTCCACATATCACATATTTCCAGCCATTATCAGGTTTCCACATGATAGTAATGTCCTCTTGAAAATGTGTAACAACTTTTTGATGTTTGGGTTGTCAGAAAATAATTTCACTTATGTCCATTTGAAAATTAAGCATAGCTAAAACCTTCGAAGTTCAGTTCTAGGAATATACAGTATTTAGCTGAACCTCCTCCAGGTTGAACTAGATTTAAGTCTGACTTAAAGAAAAGTTCTCACATACAACCATAAGACATGAAGCTCTCACGTTTTCATTCTCTGTTTCAAAGAAGGTGACTGTTTCTTCTTTTGCTCTTCATCAGTAATGTAGTCAGATGCAAGAATAGGATCATCCTGGAAAACTCTGTGTGGGAGTCGTTTCAGCATGACTTGGACCTCTGAGGAAAGCTGCTTCTTTGTTCGAGACTCTGTAGATTTCCTTTTCTTCTTCTTTTTCAGTTTGACTTTCAGGAAGGATGTGTCAGAGTCTGAATCTTCATCATCAGAGGAAAATGTCGAAGTGGAATCCCTCCTCCCAAGGTCTTCTCTGCTTTCATGCTCCTGGGATACCAATTTCTCCCCTGATATTTCCTCCTCCTTCTTTTCTGATTTTTCTTTTGATTTCTCACTTTCCTTTGTCTCTCCTTCATCCTCTTTGCCGCTCGGTTCCATTTCCATGTCATCCCATTTCTCACAATTTAACTCAATTTCCTGTTTATTCCCTTTGGTTCGCACCATTTTCTTCCTCCTCTTCTGCATCTTGCTCTCCCCAATGTCTGCTTCATTAGAATCAGCCAAGATGTCTTCCAATGCTTTCCTAGCAGTCATTGTCTGCCATCTCTCCTCATCAGAAACATCAGGATGCTTTTCAGAAAGATCCAGTGATCCCACATTTTCCATCTCACATGGTTCCTGAGCCATTTCTTTCATTCTCAGCTCTTCATCTGAGTCATGGAAGATGACTTCACAGTCAAAATTGATGCTCTGAGTGGGACCTGATTCTCCATCTTCAGTTTCCTCTGAATCCTGGGAGATGAGCTCAGCATCAATTTCCATCATGCTTTGGGTGGTGCCCTGGTCATCATCTTCACCTTTCATAATATCCATGGTGACCTGACCTACCTGATCTTCCTCAGTGTCAGGAATCCTGGAGATGACTGAGTTCGTTGCATCCTCTACACCTGGAAGCAATTCCAAGGAATCTGGTATTATTGTTGTGGGACTCTGAACAAAACAGTCCTCAGCTTCAATATTCAATGGTTCTGCCTTCACTGTCACACTTTCAACATGAGGCTCTCTCTGTCCTCTTTCCTCAGAATTGCCACCAGTTATCATCTCCTCACCATCAGACACAGTCTGCTTCTCAGAACCCTTGTCTAGAACTTCCTTTCTGCCAGATTTAACCTTTTCCACTTTCTTTGATTTTCCATCTTCCTTTTTCATCACCTTCTTCTTTCTCTTCTTCCTCTTCCTCCCCTCTTCAGAAGAATCACTCAGTGAAGTTGAACTACTTTCTTCTACAATACCATTTGGTAAATTCATAGCATTGAAGAGTTGAAGAGCATCAGGTTCACACTTCACAAGGGTCCTTTCTAGTTCCTGCCCAACCCTATCTAAGTTTTTCCTTGTGATGTCAAGAAGCATTTGGAGTTTTTTCAGAGTGCTGGCAGTTGCCTCCTTTCCATGATCTGAGTCCTGCCATTTCAAATAGATACGGGTGGCATCTTTGCCATATGAGGTCATGCACCTTTCCACATTGTGGTAGGACTCCTCAACCATTTCATCAGTAAAACCTTTCTTCTTTTTCTCAGCCCGCAATTCTTGAAGCTTCTTTAGGGTCTGCTTGAAACCTGGCCTGGAAAAGATTAATCAAAAACCTTGATTTGGATTTCTCTTGCCACAATATTGATGGCATTTCATTAGGGGGAATAAAGCAACTACCAAAGAATTATACACCTGATCTAACTCAAGAGAATTTGCTACAACTTCAATACTTAATTCCTAAGAAAAATTACCTTTTAAATGCCTATCAAGCAGGCTAGAGACTACAAAATCATTCTGAAAGGAGAGATTAGCTGTTTCCATCAAAGAAAAATATGTTTGAGACCAATACTTCCCTCATTCTGCATTCTAAATTGATATCATTCAAATACAGTCCCATTCATGAAATGACATGAAAGCTAATCAATTCACCTTGTGTATGCCATCTAATAACAACCACCAAAAAAACAGAACTCCTGAACATGGGCTGCCCCCCTATATCCCAAATAGGTACCCCAGTGTTGCAACCATTTAACAAGGATACCTGCTAATCACAGTCTGATTATGTCTAGTCCACAATAGAGGTCTGCAACTCAGTTTTAACATGGACTAGAATGCTAAGATGCATGCATGTCCAATAATATTCAAGGTTTTTCACAAAACACAAGGCTTGATTTCAATTAAGTTCATCCCAATTCCACATGCAGGCCTTGCATTTTGTGAAAAAATATTAATGTAAATGGACTTGTGTGTGCACATATGCATCTGCCTACCTGCCCAAGCATTGATGCAAAGGTCATGACACACCAAGTGTGAAATGATCTGTAGTCCCACACTTATGAAAGCAGGTATTAAATGGGTTGCAAGCCTATATCCCAGACTATCCAATCATTGATATAGAACTCAGAAGAAAGCCTATTTCTTCACCTGAGCTACCTTGTTGTCAATTGGCAAAGAAGACAATCTCTTCCAATAGCTCCACAGAACACAAATTTAGTCCAGCAAAAACTGGAATTATGAACAAACCGAAATTTCTTCATCCCCTTCCCAAGTCGTTTTGTGTGAAATTGATGGTATTCTTGAATGAGACATAACATGGCATGGAGCTCCTTGAGTGGATATGGCTCACAAACCAAGCACTTCCATTCTTCAGCTGTGCGGAACTTTTGCAGCATTGTCCGACCCAGGTTACGTTTCAAACATTTCTGCAAAACAAAGAGATAAGATCATACATTATGCTCATGATTCAACCTTCCAAGGCTCTACTTGTCACTGACACAAGGTTTAGGTTGCACCATACCCTCAGTATCCCAAGCAAAGAGCCACAGATGGGGCTGTACCAATTGGAAATTTTGATTAATATGCACAATGAACCACAAAAATGTGATAGGATTGAAATGCTTATAAAAATCACACCATGGCTGCTAGAAATGTATGGTGAGGTTTAATTAGTAGAAAAGCTCATAAATTTGTATTATGTCGCAGTGTGTGTGTGTCCAAACTATCCTGTATTATGTGCTCAGGCATGAACCTGCATGGGAACTTTTTCAATTGCCACCTGAAGAGCATCACATGAAACAGTTGAAATCACTTAAGTCACTAAATCGTTGAGTTCAGGAATTTTCGTTGGTTTCTCATGAAGGATTTCTTCTTTGACAAAGCCCCAAAGAAAGTAATCTAAGGGCAAAAGGTCCAGAGACCAAGGGGGTCATGGAAATTGAGACCAGTGGGAGATGAGATGACTGGGAAAGTGATTTTTCAACCATTGCATTGAGGCTCTAGATGTATGTGCTATGACATCATCTTGTTGGAACCAAGCTCTTCACACATAATGCATACAATGCCAGAAGAATCTTGAATATATCAACATACCTTTCCAAATTTACTGTAATAGCCACCTCCATTTCAGGATCCTCAAAAAATAGGGCAGTAAATGCAATTAGCACTAAGGTCACACCACACTAATTTCTGGGGAGTGTTGAGCTAACTCAACAAAATCAACAGGCCAAGAAGACAGGGTAAAAAATGACTTTTTCTACCAAACAAACCTTACTCTAGGTCTACAGGGTGGCCGAAAAGTCACCGTACCCCCATCTACCTTTTCACATATTTTCATATATTTCATGAATAAAGATCTAAAAATACCCGTTGCACATCCCACATGACCGCTCAACACAGCGGTGCATGGGCCTGGTGCGAAACTGCGCGACTGGGTAGGCGACTTCTGCAACTGCTCAGCAGAATTCAGTTTTGGCTGTTAACCATAGCAGACACCAGTAGCTACACCATTGAGAAGCCTTTAGTGGCGAGTGTGTGGGTGCATGAAAGACAGCACACTAGACAGGTGATGACCTGGTCTGTGTCGACTTTGGTGGTGAAGGGGGCAGGAACAGTGGCACACGTGTCCACTCGGGTTATCGGCCGACCACTTCACGGGATGTCCTTCACACTGCCGAGGGAAAACACTCATGTTTCCCATGCTAATAATGTTGCTTTATGCAGAGGTGGCTTTCCAAATCATGCATAGAACGCTGCCATCACCTAGTCCATCACCTGTCCGGTGTGCTGTCTTTCATGCACCCACACACTCGCCACTAAGCGCTCCTCAATGGTGTAGCTACTGCTGTTTGCCATTGTTACTGCCAAAACTGAATTCTGCTGAGCTGTCGCAGGTCGCTTAGCCGGTCGCGCATGCACCGTTTCGCACCAGGCTCACACATTGTTGTGTTGAGCAGTCATGTGGGATGTGCAACGGGTATTTTTAGATCTCTATTCATGAAATATTTGAAAATATATGAAAAGGTAGATGGGGGTACAGTGACTTTTCAGCCACCCTGTATATTTATAGCATCCATAGTACAGTTTTTATAACCATTTCAAACCTGTTGCCTTTTTGTGGCTCACCCTGTGCCAGTTACTGTTGTTACCATCCAATTTTCCTCAGTGCCAACATTGCAATTACACCAAAGCAACTAGATTCTGACCCTTGAACTTGAGAGAAAAGCCTCCCTTCAGTCTGAGTTGAGCAGAGGGACCACATTCCCCCTGGATGCATTCAAGACTGGACTGGGAAGTAAAGCAGTACGTTGCCTTACCTTTCTCGGCCCTAACTTCTCTTCAGATCACACAGCTTTGAAATCCTTTGGATATAATGGACATACGAGTATGGTCTTTTCTTCAAGCAATTCTTGCCCCTCTATTGTTATACCCTTATTAAACACTCCACCAATATCCTATTCCAGTATGACCTCAAATTACAAACCATTCACAGAATTCATCTAACTCTTCCAGCAATGGCAGAGATGGTTCCAGGTCTCCCTCTCTCTCTTGACAGAGAAATAACAGTAAGTTTTCAGTTGAGCATGTAAAAAAGGGCACCATCCAATAAACAAAGGGACACCTCATCCGAAATAAACCTCTGATGTGAGAAAGATGTGCAATTTTAAATGTGGCAGTTCACACGGATCATATTTACTATAGAACTTATCAGCATTCTTATATCTTCTAGCTGGGATTCTTTCTTGAAAAATATTTTTGCATTCAAGAAACCTTGTGTGCTGGTATGTAGTCTGCTGTGAGGAAGGGACAGAAGCAGGAAAAGGAGGCTGACTGAGTTTCACCTTTCCCATTTGGTGTCACATGCCAAATTGGTGAAACAGAAACTAATCTAGTTTCATAAATGGGTCCATATAGGTCTAACATATCTGGGTTAAACACATTCTCTTATATGAGATGGAATCTGATCAAGTTAAGGCAAGATGGAATTGGTGCTAGTCCTCTTATTGTCTGTATGGCTAGAACTTCTCAAAGGGGACTTGCAAAGAGAGGTTACTTCAAGATAGGTCATGAATTCATTCATTTATTGATGTGGGAAGAAACAGCAGACTTGGCTCATTGGATAAATAGTTTCATTTCTTTATTTTTCAGTCTCCTTATGTATGCTTGCCTAGACATAAATCCCTCATGAGAGAACTGTTGAGAGAGGTCATTTCTGATTGAAGTTGTTCTTTCAATGTTGAAGGTAAATATGGGAGCAGTTTGCCTTCCCTGTTTGGTTTCTTCCTTTTTCTTACTCTAGCCCTCTCTTTGTCAAATATAAACAAATTCCTTGAGGGTTAATGCTCACCCTCTACACACCCCAGGGCAGGAGTAATTTCCCTCTAATTTGAGGGCTCACAATCAAATTGGCTTGGTATACAGTATGTCCTACTATTATGTACCCATTCATACACTGTTTCCACATGATGTCCACCATTTTCAAGGCTAATATATAGGCCTCAGACAATTTCTTCATACACTTTGGATGATGAACCAGGCATAATTGTATTGATTGTGTTGATGTGCTATTGCAGTTGTTGTAGGTCTCATAGCTTCGTTGAGCAAATACTTGACTTAACAAACTAAAAAAGAAGGTAAGAGCTCTCAAGCCAGGTGTCCATCCTCCCCAAGCAATCCATCTTCATGGAAATGTGTCAAGATAAGAAGTGTGACAAATGCAAAGTGCACCATCTTGCTGGAAGACACATGTACTTAAGGAATGCATGCATAATTACAGGACACACTGTATTAGTTTGGTTTGGGCTGTTACAGCATCAACCTATGACTACAAGACACAAGGGAGTTTTTAGTTTGAAGTGGGTGGTAAAATGAAGAAAATTGTGGAGATACAAGCCTCTAGGGTTAAAGATTGGTTTCTTTCAGCTATTTTAGGCCGACTTCATTGCATCCTGAGTAGCCTCACATAGGCCATCTTCCTTTGGAGATGGGTACCACTCAATCAAAGAAAGCTCATATAAATATAGACACACCCTACTGAATGCATAATATCACACTCATGTTAATTTTAAAAGTATCCACAGCAACCTGGGCCTTGGCTGAGACAATTCCTAAGATGCATTAGTCTGATATTATTCTTGGAGACATGGTACTGCTATGCTTGCCAAGTCACCTTGTAGTCTTTAATGCCTCAGGAACTTATGCAGGTTACCAACTTACCTGTCTTAACACCTCATTTCAGTCAGTACCTGGTAGCATTTAGTGCCCTATCTCTCAAGGGGAGACTCCTACGATAATTGGCAATTTCCTCATTCCCTCCAGAATGGTGCTCAAGGTTGATTCTTATCAGAATTACTGTAACTTCCATGATGCCTGAAGTTTAAATGCGAGCCTAAGATCTCACATGGTACGTAATATTAAAGCAAAACTAGTGGCAGAAATACTGACAAACTGACTTCATGAAAACCATCTAAATTGGCTGTTCTCTCAATAACTGGAGTCAAGATCAGCATAGCCCTAGTAAGTTAACACGTTGACGACCAGCCTATTTTTGCTTGTCTTAAGTGTGGTCTCAGCAAGCAATCACCAGAAAACACATCAATGGAGGACCCATCAAACATTTCTTTAATTGAAGTCACTTGTGCTTCTTTGCCTACTAGCTCTTTTGACTACGTGTCAGAGGAAANTTTTTTGGAATTTTTATCAGTAATTACGAAATCATAATCTTCTGGAACGTTCTCAACAGTTCCAGAGGGTATTCATTGAAAAAAAATCTGCATCCTGGCATCAGGACGCATTGTCGCCAACGTGTTAAGGTCAGTATGAATCCATTCTTGTGCCATGGACAACAAATACTTTTCAACCTTGATAATTTAGCTATCCCCCTGAAAACGATAGATATCAAGACACATTGGGCCAACTCAGTATCAATCACTTATTTTTATGAAGTGAAAAATTCTGACAAGGTCATTAATTTCATGAATAACATCTTCAAAAGAAAACCAGCTTAAAAGGCAGCTGGACTTTGTAATTAGAGTACAAATGCATTGCAGGCAAAGGATATACCATGCAGAATCCATTAGGGCAGGTAGTGCAGAGTATCAAATCACCACCATCTGCACACCATCTGCAATACTTGGCAGTTCTGTCCTCATCTTGGGACAAGGCCCCATCTCCATAATACTCCAAACATTTCTGAAATAAATGTTTTTTCAGAGAATTAACTCAATTTCTGTGGGTTCAACTGGTTATAAAGACAGCTTATTAAGTGGATTATAGCATCAATTTTTTCTGGCCAACCACTTCTGTCCCTAGCAAGTCTGATTGCCCATGTTCCAACATAACCCATTAATCACCAGAAGAGATTTCATAAAAAAGGAGAATCATTAACAGGGGAAAAAATGGCTTTAACTAATCACAAACTAGTCAAAAATAACATCTATGAAATTATGCATCCCAGATTTTCTCTGTGAGCTGGTATATCAGAAAGTGGGATCACTGGCCAGACACAGATCACGGGCCAATCACTGGCCTCATCAGCCAGGATATAGGCTTAATTATGCCTAAATTCAAAAACTTGCCTTTAATGTAGTTATCTCTTAGCAGCAACACAGAGTGCCCCCAAAAAAAGTCCTGAACTTTATACACCTGCATACCGAATACCATGAGTTATCCACAGGGTTTCACATCCAACATCTTCAGGTAATGCTACAAAAATGTCAATGAAATTCAAAGTTAACTACCCAAGTAACAGTTTTCCTCTGACACGTAGTCAAAAGAGCTAGTAGGCAAAGAAGCACAAGTGACTTCAATTAAAGAAATGTTTGATGGGTCCTCCATTGATGTGTTTTCTGGTGATTGCTTGCTGAGACCACACTTAAGGCAAGCACACTGACACCCAAGCTCATTTGACAACTCGTATGGAAAGAGCTCTTATTCATGTTGAGGGAATTTCATAGAAATTTTCCTGAAACCACCTACACATATTGGATATTACACATGGAAAATTTCATGTTATACTTAATATGGTGTCCTGTCTGCAGATACATCTTTGGGACTTTTTTTTGGGCCACCCAGTATAACTAAACCTAGAAAGAGGAAAGCAGATGATTTAGAAACATATAGGTTCTTTTTCCTGGTCAAGATTGCTCATTTCTTCACTTCTTGAAAATTGAAAACGAGGAATAAGTAATGGTAATGTCCTTGATTCAATGATTATTCAATTGATTTCTCTCCTTCAGAGGGGGAATTCGACTCACGTTCAAGGGCCACAGATACTACAAAAGGAGATATCTGCCATAAGAATTTAATGGAGGCTTTCAGCATTGCTTTTGAGACCATCTTCTCCATATCCAGTTGGTAGGAGGAGGCTATGTTCTTTCATTGTACAATTAAATTGTAGAAACTGATATTTTCTTTTGCAGATCAGAAGCATCAAAGGGGCCATGAGTTGTGCATTGCTGATCTAGGTGAATCAAATATCCTTTATTTTCTTCACATGCATCTTACCAAACTTTTTCCTTTGATGTGAGAATACCAAGTTCAAGGGCTTCAGATGAAATGGGACTGACAATATTATTCTAATATCAATTATTTTCATATTGCAACTTCCTTGACCTCTTCATTGAAGTCACACTAATTGGTTTGATTCTTGACAGGGAAATTCTGAACATTGTTTTCAAATATTCTTTTAAATTTCAACCATCGTTCCTCAGAATCCCTTGTAGCAACTTCTTATTCACAATTTATCCCAATTCACTGGAATGAACAGATCTTGCAGCCTATGAAACAGCTGCAATAACTATCAAAATGAATTTTTTTTAAAACATGATGTGTTGTTGTGATGATATTAATATAATCCAACTTCTAGTAAATCTATATAATTTTCAACAATAATTTATCGATAAGATTGACATATAAAGGACTATTCTATACAGGCTTGCAGGATCATAAGTTTTCAGCAGATAGACAAAAGTGAAAATCAGACATGAGGGCAATCCAAAAGTTTCTGCCCTGAGTTATAAGGGAATGTGATTGACTAATGAAACAAAATTTATTTTTCAGCATTACCTCCCTGAACATCAACACTTGATGATGGGACAGGGATTCAATTTCATGGGAAAAACAATTCTTTTCCATAGTTGTCTAATATGCTGAGATAGCTTCATGAATTCAGTTTTACCTTCATGGCTGCTTCACAGGAAGTTTTGCTTGAAATTCATTGCACTGAATGAGCTGCTTTGACAGGATGAGTAAATTGATATCAAATGAATACTTCATTAATAATAAAAATTGCATGACTGCTCCATATTCAAATTTTACCATTTTGAAAAGGAATATTTGCTAGGAACATTTTTTATACACAAATTATTAATAAATAAAATTGTATGTAACTAAAACCAACTGTTGACCCTTGAAATTACAAAAAAGGATAAAATAATATGGGAACCACCTTTTACCTCTCAATCATTTCCACTACCTCAGGGCAAAACATTTGGATCACCCTTCATACATTGGCATGTCCCCTAGACCCCTCTCTACTAATGATTCCCAAAAATGAAATCCACTGCCTGTTCCACCACTAATGATAAAATTCATTGACCTACATCTGTCAGATGCATGTTTAATCAAGCTATCAGCCCCTGCTGATCCTCACATGATAAGTTAACCCTTTCACTGCTGAGTTATATTTTGGACAGCAGCTGAGATCAATGATGGAAAAAGAGTGTACTCGGGAGCTGCGGTGAAAGGGTTAAAACAAATAAGTTGTCAGCTCTAAGAATATTTTCTGCCAAACTAACCTTGCAGACCAGAACTTTTAGAGTTGGGTGTTCATTGATATCACTTCTGTTGGCCTGATTCACCTGCTCTCCACAGACAGTACACCGGAAAATCCCAGTGTTCACATCCACTCCTAAAGGGAACCAAAAAACAACATAAACTGGACTGGAAGAATAATGACAGCAACTAGGCTAAAACACTTAAGAAAATTTTACCTTCGGGTTCTGAGATCGAGTCCCTTCATGGGATATACTAAAACTTTTGATTGCATAAAGCAGCACCATTCATCAAAATGAATGCAAATATTCATAGATTCTCCTAGTTTTACTATAAGTAACAATCCTCCACTGCCAGAAATATTCAAAATACTTTACAAAATTCAAGGACTTCCAAATAAAATTCACACTTCTAAATCATATTATCCTTACAGTACCACACAAGTAATAGGGAAACATTCCATGCCAAATCCATCAGAAAGTGAGCTTGTCCATCTCTGATTTTGACAAACCAAGAAAGACATTGATTTTAGGAAGCAATTTCAAACTACTTTTTCTTTTGTATCTTGCCCTGATCTTTGGATACTTGCAAAAAATAACATCTGGTTTTGGCTCCTGGCAGCTGTCTGGACTGGAACTGTGGAATAGTTTCAGCAATAACTTTTTTCCAAATTAGGAGAAGCAGCTTTATTCTCATTTTATTTCCATTGTGAAATTGCCCTTTTTTCAATGATTTTATGCATAAACTTCAAGATTGACACTCAACTGCTTTAGGAGATATGAGCACTACAAGAAATCACACCAAAGAAAATTTCATACAGTGCTCTCAGTGGCTCCCAATAGTTTCACTACACTTCATGAACCTGTTCTAGAGTTTTCAATGAGGAGATAAAATCTATTACAGTTTCCCTTGGGAACTAGTCCAGAGGATGTCTGGAATAGGGTCAACACATATGGATGGTATGAAGGAAGTATGACTCCACCTATCTCCTACTCATGTTCTGTCTGTTAGTACTGTAGATAAGTAATAAATTATATGTATTTCTTGTAAATCATGTCACTTTAAAAATTTAAAAGTCAAGATCACAATAGTTTTTCTCAGATAAGTACAGGCATGATAAAAATCATGGCATATTTGTGAAACCATACAGAGTACTTTGGACTTTCTGCAGAGTGCTTTTTAAAATTCAGTCATACTTCAGTTCTGCTGAGCCTGTTCCAGAAACAACCTCTAATCCAAGCTACAAGTTCCCAATGGAGGCTGATAACTGATAATATACAGGGAGTTCGTATTTAACACGTTGACCGCCACAGCAATACTGGCCTATCGATTTTCCCATTCAGTGAGGTGCACCAGTGTGCCTTGTGGCAGTCAACCAGTTAAACACAACATAAGAAATATTTTGCTGTCTGTATGTGGAGTTTGGCTAGCACAACAAGGCCAACCAGGTTGCATACCTGCTAGGAAACACACCAGTAGAGTTTTCATCCTTACAGATATGCAACCCAGTGAGCTTTAAGGCACTCTCTGATCTCCACAAACAGCCAGCAAAATTTTCCCTATGTTGTGTTTAAATACAAACACCTTGTATAAATAAAGGTCTGAATGGGGTGCCACTCATGACCTCTAACCCAAATTCTCAAAAGTGAGGTTTCTTGAAAAAAGTAAATAAGTGGCAATCTGGAAGTTGGTATCATTAAATAGTGCATACACAGCACTTTTGAATGACTGAAATAATTTTTCCTTTTTTGAGGGACAGGTACAGAAGTTGAAAGAAATGGCTTCACAAGGTCAGCCATTTGGGTACTGCTGCTACATTTAGATTGTCATATATCCACAAGAAATTGAGGACCAATCCATTTAAGTTGATCAAGGCAACAGATCAAAGGAAATTTCAATTTTCTGAGAGGGATCAACTAGGTATTATAAATAGGGGGGCAACTTCACAATTAAATGGCACCTGAATGAAATTTCTATCTTAATAAGGAGAAACATTATTACAGAAACTCTTTCAAAATTTAGGTACAGAAAGGTACTGAGAGTCAAAAACTGGTGACATTCAAATGCAGGTATCCAGAGATGAATGCAGTATATAAAAAAAAGATTCAAATTGGTTTCTTCACATCAAATCCTCTTCATCTCTGCCAAATGTTGCCATAATGACAGATGGTTGAGCTCACCCTCTAGCCAATTTGGCATGAGCAATTGGCCTTATATATAGACCTTGATAGATCCTATGATCTACATAGGTCTACTCAAGGTCAACATGACTTTCCTGAACCATCTCAAAATGTGAACAAGCATAAAGTTGAGGCATGATTACTCAGCATGCCCAGACTTATGGGGCCCTTTCACTCCTGTATGTTGGACAGTCTGACACCACAAAAACCAGCAACCAATATTGATTTTGTGACAGCTTGATTTTGTGTATCATTGAGACTATAGCCAAGTGAGCTAAAAATGAAGCTACACTTAATATTCATGCTTCAGGATTGTTTAAAACAGGGGGAATCCACTGCATTGTCACAATTATGACAACAACACTCCATTGTGATAAATGTATAACTTGCTTCATACATAAATGTTGTTCAGGACAATTTTGCCGGCAAGAACACTGGAAAACTCTCCCAGCCACTTCATTTTTTATCAACAACAAATGTAATTCAGCTAAAAGAAAGGTGACAGTCTATTCCTACTTTCTTGAAAATATGGAAGCTCTAGGTCAAGCCATGTCAAACAGAATTGGAAGGGAGCAAAGAAAGTGAAAACTGCTGTCTAAACTGAGTTACATCAGCAACACAAAATGAATGGCCTTACTTTTCTCCATACATGGTAGAAATTAGAAACTTTTGGCTAATATAGGTGCAAATATCTGTTTTCTATAAGATACCATTGAAGTAGAATTTCTGAACCAAACCATATTAAACATATAACCATAATACTAATTTTCATTTTGAGTCTGGCGTTACAAAGTAACTTTTGAACTACCCTTCAATACCTAATGCTCAAAGACCATTAACTATACAAATTACCATGCAAACATCAACAGACAATAATCAACACAATTAGCTTCACTAGTTCAGACTTCATAGCAGGCACTAAGCATAACCATAATTACTGATGCCACAACAATAGAAATAGAAGAATAAATGTTCACATTACTCACTCACTCCTTACATTACAATTGCTGACATCATTGAACCAGACAGAGCAATTTGATTTTGTCAAAATCCTCAGAGTAGCCAAAATCACTCTCTTAATGGTTCAACTTTTACCTACACATTTAATTGATCCTATCATTTCATTCGGTGGAAGAATGGGAATGCAAATTTCTGTGAACTCAAAAAGAGTAAAACTGATTCTTTTATACTTGATGCCTGCAAAAAGAAAATAAGCCTTTCTTAGGCTCACATTAACAGGGGGCCCAGCTACCTGGCAAATTTCAAGATATGAGACAAACTAGGATCAAAGGCCTAGGGCATGAGATCCAACATGCACCTATGATCCTTTGGTTTTATGTTACTACACAAGTTTCTTCATAGCAACTAATAAAGGTCAACAATAAAAGAACTAGATAAAGGTACTGGGCATTGCAATTGCTCAAAAAGCAGTATAGAAAAGAAGGTTCATTTACTTTCCATTTCAATTCCTTTTTATTTTTTCTATTTAAAGATATTAGTAGTTTTTACAAAATGTGGCTAACAGGACTTCTTTTAAAATTTTATTCACGAACTTGAAAAATGAATAAAAGATGGCCTTAGAAGGCCCAGGACATGAGCAGATCCTATCAAGATGACAGGCCTAAAACCCACTTGTCCCACTTCACTGGGAAAATAGGGTTCCTGGAGCTCACATTCATTGCCAAGAAATTGATTCAATACACTATCCCACCCAGACAATTGTTTCTCTGATGTGTGACAGAATACATATCAATGTCCTCAGTGACCAAAATGCTGAAGCAGTTGATGAATACCTATCCAAAGCAGAAGTCTGCAAAGAGAGTCCAAAAATGTTTGGGACCCAATTACCCAGTCTTCTATATTATTTTACTTTCCACAAGCATAGCTTGAAAAATACCATACTGGTCCATTCTGGCTACCTAGTAACCCAAGACAAGATGAGCTCAGGACCAATTTGTAGACATATCAAGCTCTGCCAATAAACTTTCCAAGGTAATTATTGCAAAACCCAGGAAGTTTGGCCTGGGCCTACCAATCCCTTTCCTTGGCTTGGAAAAAAGATAAACAAATTGGCACACATGGAAAAAAGCCACCAGAGATGAAACCACAGAAAAGCTATACGAAGTTCAAGCTTGCTTTTAATACCTTCATTTGGTATAAACAAAAAACAATTTTGTATATTATGAGTATATAGTTCCAACACTGTGTTGTTTCATAATTTGCAGTTTAAAAATCAAAATTTAATTTTTACATTATGATAGGGCTAAGTCAATTACCTTATATGCATTGCAGCAAATCAAATAATTTATCAAATAAAATATCCATCGAATGTGGTTTATTTTTTTGCAACTATAATTTTGATCCTAACAATTTTAATCCTAATTTTATTAGGAAAAATTGAACGATTTTAACGTATTTAAGTCTTCAAAAAGTAAAGAAACAAGGAAATGCCCATGGAGACTATTGGGTGACTTCATCGTGTTCATGCCTTAAGTGGCTATTTCCCGCTTTTGCCAATACTTGTGGTCTTTTTCCTGGGTGGCTTTTTTCCTAAGACCGGCCTACTCATACTCCCGTTAGAAAGGTCACGAGATATTTCATCTAGGTCTCACGTTAGAACTATGGGCCTACATAGTCCTACCATAGCCTAACGTTTCAAATTCCAACTCACGCTTTCTCAACCGGCGTAAAATGACTTCAATGTCTTCTCTGGTATCACTGGCCGAGTCGGAAGTGGACTCCGTGTCGGAAGCCCTTGACATCATTTCGTGGCGAACGAATACGCGTATCCAAAGTTATTTTAGCTGCCAGAAGAGACACACGTCACGTGACCAGTATTAGCTACTTCTGTCTAGAAAGTGAATGAGGAATGAACGAAGAGCGATTCCGAGGGAAGCGATCAACATGGCAGCCATCTTGGCACCGTAGTTATAATTTTTTTTTTACCAGTGGTTTTTACAGCGTTTTTCCTCTGTCTGACAAAAAATTATTTAAACAAAGTTTGATATGGGAAATGGATACGCGCTGGTGTTGGTAGTGAAGCCTACTCCACTCTCCCATAATTCAGATCTGCCAGGGTTGACATCGTGGAAGCAGCCCAGATATTTTTCGTGAGGCCCACGTAGGCTCTAGGTAGTCATCCAACCTTAAACATCTTGACTCAGTATTGGCACCCATCTTGCACCATTATTGGGATTACTACCATGGCCAATATTATGCCGATATTGAAGCTGTTATTTCCTCTAAATTCATTGCCCCGTGGAAGTAAGCTCTAGGAAGAGACATCCCACTCAGCTCAGTGATAACCCAGGGATGTCCCTAACTGGACGACTTGTCCCATGGTCATAAGATGTCTTCAGAATATCCTGAAGACATCTTTCGGACGGTTTCGGACATCTCGTAAGGGATGTCTTCGGGACATCTTAGAGACGTCTTTTAGACATCTTCAGTCGGTATCTTTGAGATATCCCTTTCAGGATATCTTTAACACATTCACTGCCATGTCAGCCACGGGTGGCTGACACTAAGAAGTTCGTGCCAGGCCTGTCAGCCACGAATGGCTGACGCTCAACTCCGAGCTTTTTCTATCTGTTTTAGTTGATGCCTGTATGCGCTTTTCTTAGCAATTCGAAGGCTTAGCCTCAAAAAAATAATAAATAACATGATATTGACTTCTGTGGAGCATTGATGTACTATATTTCAGGAAAAACCAACTGAATTGATCAGGAAGGTGGTTCGCAAGCATTACGTGCACATTGGACGGTTGTCGGACAAACTACACAGTATATCGTGACTCTATCTTCTTCCCAGCTTGTTTAGGTTCCAATTCTTTCTTCAGACGTGAATGGCATAGACATTTTGATGGACGAAATGCCAGTCTACCCGCTCATGGTACCATTGATTCAGTAAAGACGATCTTCTGACCAGGTTTCATTTCTCTTAGTAATTATCCCTCAGAGCATCAAGTAAAAGTCGAATCTTGGGAATCGAATCACTTTTTTCAATATTATTATTGTCATGGGAATGCACTATACAAAGGAGTAGTTCTAACCTGTTCCAAGACATAACTTGCAATGTAAATCTGATAAATCTGGTTGATGATCAATTGAGCAATTGAGGGCATTGTTGCACGACCCATTCAAGTTAGCAGATTTGAGAACTTCCTGAGATCGGTCCCAGTTTTTCAAGGAGATTGTGTAACGGTGTTACATATAAGGATTTTCTGGGCAAGGCAATTAATATATCTTATGATGAGATTTAGGGCTTCATCATTGAGAAGATCATAAGCTTCAAGTGGGCTGAATATATCACACTCAACAATCAACCCCCCACTCCATCAGCACATAGCATTGAATCAACACCCGGACGCTGAGTCAGCCTTCAATCAATATTGATTCAATGTTTTCTGCTACTGAGGCCATAGGTGCCTGTGAAAGAGAAAACTTTCTGGCGACCTTGAAATATAGATCACATGGTGATTGTTCCTGAATCTCCAGTCTCACCATGATCACTTGATTCTCAATCATCGATTGTCCTCATCTACTTCTGTTACATCACAACATCTGTCAATCCTTCCATTATCAGAATCACTAAGATCAAGAGATGATGGAAATGTAGATATGCTATCAGAATCATCAATTTCTGAAAACACCACTTCCACGAAGGAGGAACGTGTCATGTCCTCTTGGTCAAGAATTTGACTGGACATTTCATTCAACTGATAATAGAAATAGACCAAATGAGTGGGTTTATAGCTACGTCACCTATTGGTGGTTTACATGGCTACAAGTGAAATATTATGTAGTCAGACAATATCAATCCATTATGGCTGGCATCATTTTTCCCAAAACGGTATCACGACGCATTAAAACGCCTCAGTTCAAAGTCCACTAGATGCAGGAACCCTCTGGCCTGGTGGGAGCTCTTTCCTTAGAAGGGCTTGGCAGTCAATGAGTTAAGACATCCTTAATCGAATGCCTCTGGATGTCCCGGAGGGGATTTCTTGAAGGCATCTTTAGTCGAATGCTTCTGGATATCTTGAGGAGAATGTCTTCGGGGCATCTTAGGGATGTCTTTAACCATCTTCAGCGCTCTTTGTCGCCTTCAGTCAGGTGCATACCTGCGACGGTAGATGTCTTCCGTGAGCCCTGATCTTCAACCTCAGATCTTTTCTATAAAATTTATCTACTTGATTAGTCCTGAGGATAAGTAAGGCTTTTCGTACCGTACAATCGGGAAAACTGCCACTAGGGAAAGGGAAAAAATTGGGGTCCGAATTTTAATTTATTCCACTATATTCTATTTAATGATGTCATGTCTTGATAAAACTACCTGGTATCTTGGTTGGAGGTCATTGGAAAACGCAAAGTTAAACGAAAAAAAAGGAAGAATCCTTAGCTAGAGTCCACTCCCAGGCTTTAGCTTGTCCTCACCGTGCTTTTTTTCGGTCAGGTCAATCCTTCACCCCATCTGCCGGGGCTCTTTGTCCCGGCAGCCATCAAATTGTCTTTGTTAAGACATATCCCTCTCTCTCTCTCACACGGCTCCTGATTTATTAATTACCCCTAAGGACCTTTGTCTCTAACGCTTTTCTCTCCTGCATTCTTGCCTCTAACCTTCTGCATCTTCACTCTCCCCTTTCTTTTCGTACGGCACCATGCCGGCAAAAAGGAGGACCCGACCCGGAAGAAGGCCTCTCCCCCAACCGCCTTCCGTTCACTCCAACCCCTCACCTCGCTCCAGGCGTCAGGCTTCTCCTGCCCCTCCTCCTCCTCCTCGCACACCTCCACCGCCCCCTGCCATCTCGCGAGATTCTTCTCCCCTTCGCCAACCAACTGCCAGCCCCTCGCGCTCCCCTCCACATCCAGCCTCTCATGCAGCAAATAACGCACCCTATCTTTCACCTGCCCATTCCAAAACGCCCCCCACGACCCCTGGCAACTCCTCTGTGCACTCAATCCCCACACCCACTAATTCATCCAACCCTGCTCAAGGAAGTCCCAATCTCTTCGCGAACCCATTATTCGTTCAATCCCTTCCGCCTAAGTACCAGCAAAAACTCGCCTTTGCTCGCGCCTTCTCGTGCGCATTTCCCAACTGCCCCTTGCTCGACCTCAAGCAAACCCGCGCAGGTTTTGTACTTTCCCTCAGCAAACCCGCGGACGTCGCCCGTGTAGCGAGCGGCTGGAATGAAGCTG